AGGTCTTGTGGCAGTGCCTCTGCTGCCTGCCTCTGCCTCTGCTTTTCCTTTTCCAGTCTTGATGGCCTGCCCCTCCCACTCCATTGAAGGATTGGCTTCACCTGCTTGGTGCCTTTAAAAGCTGGGTGAATCCAAGATGGCTCTCTCTTTCTCCCTCCTGGATGGCTGGAGCCTTTCAGGTCTCTCTTGGTTTGGTTTTGGTTAGATTATGTGGAGCTTAGCCTTGGTTTTTAGACTTTCATCATTAGTTTTCCTAAATTACTCATTTATTTTAAAGCTGTTCCTGTGTCGACCTCCCCTTCTTTGCTATGCTCTTCAATGGGTGTGTATTTTTTATTGTGTTTTATTGTGTTTCACTATTTTTACTGTTTATTCAATCATTTGTATATTTTTTATTACCGTTTCCATAAGCACATCTGAATCCTGTTGTGTATGCTCTGGTTATGGTTATACAATGACAATAAAGGAATCTAATCTTATCTAATTTTACTGTGTTTTTAGAGCGATAGTATTAAAATTCATTGAGACTTTTTTTACTGATGGGGTAGTAAGTTGAAAGTGTTGTGAAAAGAAAAAACTCAAGTTACAAGTACCTCAAGTTTGTATAGTAATTAAGTAAATGTACATCCACCACCAGTTATTGGTTTATGATTGTAACAGTGCCCTAGTTAAGATAGACGGAGATGTTTGTCTGATTTTAAACCCAAACTAACAGAAAAGCACACACGTGAATGAAAAAGCTCAGCAAGTAGCACCTGGTACAAGTGACTTCTAATGAGAGCCCTGCTGGGCGCCGAGTAACCGCCTGAAATATTCATCACGCTTCGGTCTCTCTTCACTCATTACGATTTCTCTCTGGTAGCCTTTCTGCTTTCATCAAACCTCCTTCTCCCCTCACCATCTGAGAAACACTTTTTTTTGCCGCTGATCCGCCGTTAGACGAGCACCAGAGCTCGTGCACGACCTCTGGCAGCAAGTTGGCGCGCAGAACTTTTCATGGCCAACGCATCCACAGTCAGACTGATAATTGTGTCAGCAGAGTCCCATCGGTGTTCATTAGTGAAGTGAAGGCAGCCGACTGTAAGGAGCAGCTGATTTATAAATGAAAACTTACTGTATTCTGAATTGTCTGCATCTGAACAGGAGGGACTCTGTAATCCCTGATTCATAAAAATTTTGTTTCCGTTTCTAAACAGTATTTATGCTTTTGGGCTACGTGGTGATTGAGGATTGAATATTCAGTCCTGATGTTTTCTAGAGATGTGATGTAATTTAGACATCAATATGTTCCACTACTGCATGATGTGTTATTGTCATGTGAACACTAGAGGGGGCTACAGGCCAGATTTTAATTTGGAGTTGGTTCATCTGAGTGACACCAGGATTCACGGTTAATCCTTTCATGGCACAACTTACTTTTAATTAGAAACCGTCTAATATGACCTCATTCTCAAAACTTCCTTAATTAGGGTGTCACCACTTTGTTTAAAGACCAACCTATTTAAAGGGGAGCTGAAAGTGAAACAAGTTTCATGTCCTGAGTATGAAAAACGCCACTTCAGCAAATAGATTAACATGTTTTTAGCATGATTCTGCTACAAAAAAAGCTTCTCATGTTCTCAGGAGATTCAGATGTTTCTTCACTGTAAAGTTTTTAGTTTTTTAGTTATTTTTTTGGCCTTTTGCCTTTATTAGATAGGACAGTTGAGAGAGAGAGAGACAGGAAAGTGGGGGAGAAGAATGGGGGAATGGGATTCGAACCAATGGCATCAGGGATTATAGAGCCTGTACATGGGTCGCCAGCTCAACCAGGTGAGCTAAAGTGGTGGCGAATGTAGATTTTTGTTTGTCTACATCAAGAAAAACAACAAAAAAATTAGTTTGGGTTTATGACCAGGGACCTAAACAACTCAGTTTAGGGCACTAATATAATAATAAACCAATAAAAAAGTACTGGGATGTAACTGAAAGTAATAATTTATGGTCACACACTGTAAAAAAATAAATTACTTAACTTGACTTAAAGGGGAGGTATATACATCACCTGTGTTCCTGAAATCTACGCCTCCACCTGAGAGGATATTTGAGCTAAAGGCCTCTTCACCTGATCCCTCTCAGGCCCAGACAGCCAAATAGTGAAAAATGATCATCTGCTCTTGACTCACGAGCATCTAACAGCTGGGTCACCTCATCAAACATTAACATTTTACTCACGCAACGAGACGCTTTCGTAGAATGATGCAAGAGTGTGTTTTTTGTCGGCCACATGTTTGTACAGTATGAGCAGTGACAAGGCTGTGCAATAACAACAAAACATGATAAAGTATTTATCTGCTTGCTAACCATCAAAAAAACAGGCCCCAAACACAAATAATGTCCATATCAATAATATTTTTTTATATGTAGTTATTTGTTCTTCTACAACATTTTATCACATTCATATTACAAATAAAACAAAACTAAGAAAACTAATATTATTTTACAGACATTTGCCACTACTTAAAATAAAAAATGTGTATATTTAGCATAAAAAATGTATATTTCTTTTTTAATTTTATTTGACAGATTTCCCTGTTTTGTTAAATCCCAGATAATATTTAGTAAAATCACAGAAAAAAAAACAAAAACAAATTTATATGCTACAAGTAAAAAACAAACAAAAAAAAAAACAGGGCAAAACCCCTAAATAATGTCCACATAAATATTCTACAGGTTGGCAAATTATAATTTGTTCTTTTACAATGTCTGACCACAAAACCACATTTTACTGTATTAAAATCAACAAGAAGTTATTATTTGACAGATGTGTGCCACTAGTTGGAAGAAAATATACGTATATTAAGGATTAACAAAATAATTGCTATGGTTTTAAATCGCTGCCACCACGTTGGCGTGTTTATGATCAACAGTCGGGGAAGCAGCGCTGCTGACGTCACACATCATCTCCTCCTATTTAACATCGGACTTTTCCCTTCAGCCGAAAAACAGTCAAAGCCTCTTAGAAAATGAGCAGCTTCGTCTATTCCTGCTGACGGTACGTTCATCTTTACTCTTTTATCTTTTACCGCCATCGTGCCTCTTGTCCGCTAACTTCATCCTTTAGCTTCAGTCTGTCATAAACATAAACAAGCCTGCCGATGTGGCGTTCGCTGCAGCTCGTAAACTCCTACACTGTCGATATCACGATGAAAGTTTTATTAGTAAAGTATTTCGTTCTTACTGTTTTTGTATGGTGGCAGTTAATATCAAAATAGCCATCGCGAATAAAGCATTTTGATTTGTAGCATATGTTTTACTTCAAATATCTAAAATGTGAATAGAATGAGTGCATTGCAGTAAAAAAACAAAAAAAGGCAAAATCTTTGGTGTCTGTAGCGAACAGCTTCGTCCAAAGCTTTTAACTGCGGCACAGCACTACGTTACTGGACGAAAATGCCATTTTACCTTTGTTTACCACTGTTTGTTTTTTGTTTGTTGTTGTTCCGTGGGGAGGAACATGTGCTTTCAGCGGGTAACGCGGTGTTTTCGAAGGTCCGTGAATGCAGCAAATATGGCAAACCGCAGATCCGGAGCAGGGCGGTATGAACCGGCTCCGTCAAGTTACCGGCAAAAAACATCAACACGACACACACCTTCAAAATAAACGTGTTTTTTTGTTAAACGTTACAATTGTTACAGCACATAACTCAAATCTACCCAAAACATTTTTCATTAAATGCAGCAAAATTTAGGAATTCAGAAAAATTGCACATTTTTGTCAATGTCTGTAGCCTAACCCTAGGATTTGTGGGCTTGCTTTTTTTTTTTTTCTTTTTTCAAATCTAAATGCAAATAATTGTTCTAAACGGCATTATGGCCAGCATGGAATTTATGTAAACACATTATGTAAAGATGATATAGAAATAGGACAACAGACTGTTGACAGTTTAATACACTTACTCTATATCTACTGTATCTATAGATGGATAAGTGGGATCACTCCAAGGATCTATGTCTCTTTATATGCATGATAGGAACGACAGGGTATTTTATATGCTCCATAAAGCACATGAGGAAAAGTGAAGACTGAAGTCCATCATCTGATCTGAATGAAGCAAATCGGTCAAGGCTAAAGTGGTTCCATAAAGGCCAGTTAAAGCTCAGACAGTCAGGCGGCTAAAAGATACAGGTTCAAGTAGTTGAGATACATGCATGTGTGGATGATGCTGGAGTTGACTTTCTGTCAAATGTCAATTTCAAAAAGTTACCAAAGTAACTAAACTTGAATCATAATGCTTTACTGAACCAAAATAAATTCAAAGAAGTCAGACTTATTGAATTAAGCTTGGCTTATCTGGCAAACTTGCTTTACGGTAAAGGACCCCCCAGACCAACAATAATAATAATAATAAAATTAATTTAAGAAAAAAGTGGTTTGCTACAACAGAGTATTTGGGTGTGGACCGGCATATAGCGTCACCTTTTGTAAATGTTTTTTTCAGAACAAATCTATTCTAAAACTCATTCAAGAATCATTTGAGTTTCATAGGATATCAAAATAAGTATTACAGGGAATAAAGAGGCAGCACTTAATACTTCATTACTCAGTTAAAATCTGGCATTACATACATACTGCTTACATAAATGAAATGTGGAAATGTAGGAAGTTAATTTTACTTTTTGTTTGTACTCCTTGTAGAAACTCTCATTCATAGAAGTGCAACTGTTGCTTCAGGATACTAAAATTTATCAATTGTCCACTATTATCTTCAAAGTGGATAAAAAAAAAGGCGATTTTTTTATGTGGGCACAAATGGTGATAAAAAAAAAGATCCTCTTTGTGTATGCCACAGTAATTTTGGGATCATATTTTTGCATTTGGCAGTAATATAAGATGTAATATAGTGTCAATTGACTATCTTCCCGTCGTCCTCCGTGTTTGTTTTATTTTGACAGTCTGTTGCAGAAGTTGTGTTTCTGTTTTTGGTCACTTGACGCATGCGCAGGATGTTTGTTAATTCCGCCACATAGCGGAGAATCTTTGTTGAAGTTTATGTGAAAAGCTTGACAGTTTAACGTCCTAACGGGAGTTTGTCCGCGGGGAGGTCCATCGTTTTTGGAAATTATTGCGCTACTAGTGTTATATTTAGACTCGTGATGATTTTTATCTGGACTTAATATCGATTCTGGGCGGGATAACCGGAGCTGATATGGCTGTTGCTGGAGCGGCTCGTGAGATTTGCTTTCCCCTCAGACAGATGCCTCTCAGCGGGACACACGAACAGGGTTTCTCGTGAATTTCTCCCCCACAGGCAGTGCCAAGATCCGACACAGAGCTGCCAAAATTACAAAGGTAGCTACTACAACCGCGTTTTCTCTGCTTCTTTTGTTTTGAAGGTGTATTTTAGCTTTAGCTGTTCACAGCTATATGTACATCCTGCCAGCAGCTAACTGTCTGTTAGCTAACACTGATGCTGCTTCTCTAGTGATGCTAGTTTAATGTGGGTTTAGCTTAGCACAGAAAACTTTATATTCTGATCATTTCATCATTTCCAAACGATCTCAGAGTAATAGTGATGCAAAATGAGCTAACATGTGCTCTGCAGAGTAAAGTCATCCCACCTTCTTTCTGTGGTTAGTGCACGAGTCACAATAATGTCAATGTTAAAGCAGATAAACCAGTGATTATCTACCTGTGTGCCTTGTGATGAGTTTAATTTATAGTTTACACATTTTCATGCAGACAGATGTGTCATGCAAGTAGTTTTTTGGTGAGTAATTTGGATAACAAAACACTCAAAATAAATAAGTAGTCATAGTCAAAGCAAGTTTGTTGACTATGTTTGGGGGCATTGGAATCAGTCTTATTTATGATGATTTACACAGTTATAACATGTAAAGATGTGCCTTGTGACAAATAAACCACCGAACTAGACCAAAGCTACCAGTTTTAGCCACCAGCTGGAGGGAGTTTGGTTTATACTATAATTTATTTGTACTCTGTAGGTGACTTATTCTTTCCAGGACAAGAGCTGCAGGTGCTGTAGAGGTGGAAAAGTTCCCCCACAATACAATAAAGCAAAAATACAAAACAAGTAATCAGCAGACCCAATGTGTTGTCAGTCTTGCCGATAACAAAACACCGAATATTTGTCACACTTCCTCCTAGTTATAAAATCTGCTGCACCTCATCGCCTGCATAGTTTTCCTTCTTGAAAATGCCCTGAATACCTGAATCCTCTCATTCTTGCCTGAGCGGATTAGTTAATTGGCTACCACCAGATACCAACAATGACAAGCCCTCTCTCGCTCTCTCTCTTTCGCACATGCTCATACAAAATGCACAAGTGCCAAGCAGCGTGAAGCAGATCTGCTGCTTCACTGACACACACAGGACAGAAAACGTACGCTACTAACGATTTTCATCAGCGATGTTGTCACATTTTGGAGGGCTTTAATGCACAGAGGGAATGACCGAGGATTAAAAAACTTGGATGGTTATACTCTGGCTGTACTCGCTGCATTTGTATAGCTTGAGTTTTGTTAGCAGTCATCCGTGCTTGAAGTACGAGTATTTATTTATCTCCTCCTGATGTCTTTCAGCTTGTTTCCGCTGCCAATCTTTGTGCCTGTGTCAACTATGGAGACCACTCAGGTCACTTTGGCTGTCAGAGGAGAAACAACTCCAGGTAAAATTCAACTTGTTGAGACTTGCTGCAACGTGTTCATTCACTTATATTTAGAAACAGTGTGTAAAAGTACGATTTTATTTGCCTTTTTCATTTATTTGTGGAATATAGTGTTCCCAAAAGATAGTACTTGTAGTCCAGGGGACATTTTCAAACTCATCGATCACAGGAGACACTTTTGGTCCGGCAGCAATAGGAGTGATCTTGGTTTTTCATCAGCCCACCTGCTGCTCCATCTCCCTTCACTGTAGCATTGTTTTGCTTGTGTATTTTACCTGGAGCCATTGCTTTTGGGTGACTGTGGTAGAGACACTGAGCCTGAAGTTGCTCTTAATGGCAGACGAGCACCTAGCATGCAAATTAGAAACTTTATAAAGGGCTTCAAGTACTGCCAAGGTACAAGACGATATAAAGTGCATGCCAGCCACACCCAGACTGGTTTGGTAAAAACCTGCCTCGTCTCTAACAAAGAAGAACCGGAAAAAAAACAACCTGCATAGTTTGTGTGGCACACATGACTGAAGTTTGCCAAAACAAAAACAAAGGGTTTTCTGCTCAGATTTCATTGTAGTCCATCTCACTGAAACACTGAATTCACCGCTAACGCTCCACCTGAACAGTTTCTGATGTTGTGTATAGTATCACTGTAATCTCTGACCAATCCGGTTGTGGCAGAAAGTAAAAGCGTTTTTGGAGAAGGGTCCAACTGCAGACTTCTCTCCTAGAGTCCGTCGTTCTGTGAGCCAGTTGGGTTTGAGCAGGATGACTCGTCTTTTGTAATGTGAAGTAGGCTTCATAAACTTTCACTTACTTGGCTTTAGCAGTCCCCCCAAAATCTGTTTCTGAACAAACTGTAGGCTAAAAATAATCAATCTGGTTGCTGCTTTAGTTGTGTTAGATCTGCTGGAATTAATTCAAAAGTTTGTTCTGAATTTTGTACATTTTCTAACTTTCATTTGGAAACGCTTCAAGCTTGTGGGGAACAACAAAGCAAAACAGCAAAGTCCCAAACAACTACACGTGTAGGCAACGTTGGGCTACTGACACATTTATTATCAGACTGACGTTATTTATATGCACTACAAATCTTTCATCTGGTACTTCTCCCCTTTTGGAATGATTGAAAATTCACTCATATATATTAATGATAGAAATCAATAGGTAGTTTATTCTGTAGTTATGTCTAATTATTTTAATAACAAATAATGGCATATTTAAAAATTTGTAATTGAACCCTCTTAGTTTTTTATTTTTTTTGCCATGGTTCCACTTTTGAAAATGCTCTGGGTCCCAAACTGTACACAAGGTTTCATGTCTTTATAAATGAGTGAAGATGTTACATACATTGTAATGCTTTTCACTTGGACAACCATATATCATGTTCTTCTTCTTTTGTCAAACAGTTTAGTGAAGGTACTGGGGAAAATTGAGGATAATGTGTAAAATCAACAACATATTCAAATTAGATATTTTTGTTAAAACAGCCACCATTGTCCTAAGTTTGAGCCATACTGCATTTGTACTTTCAACTGTTATTTTCATTGGCGATTAATGCTGAAGTTTCATTATGTAAAATGCTCCTTTGACTGTTCGTAGGTGAGGTGATTGCTGTTGTTGGGAGCTGTGAAGCCCTGGGAAACTGGAGCCACCAGGAAGCCGTGACCTTACAGCCAGTTGGTGATGAAGGGTGGGTTAAGCTGTATAGTAATGCCTCACTTGTATTCAGGTTAAACAATGCCCGCATGTGTACTCTGTAACTGCTTTTAAAGAAAATATGTATTTTGTTTAACCGACAGATGCACATGGACTGCAGCAGTCACCGTTCCTAAAGGTGCTGTCATCAAGTACCGCTATTTCAAAGGCTTCTTTCTGGAGTCAAAGGTGAGTCTCTTTTCATCAGCAGTGGAGCAAAGTGGTAGATACTTTGGCTTGTTGTAGTCGAAACTCTATAGTCTAGTTACTAATAGTTAAAAAGATCAATTTTGTTGTTGATTGTATTCTGAGTTCACATTTGTTTGACTCTGTTGTTGCATGTTATGTGATCTGATGCATGTACTTTTGCAGAAAGAGGAAAAAGAAGTTTTGTTCAATTGTTATGAGTCTCAAAGTCACCATGAACTTGAGCTGTGACTTCCTCAGATTGTGTGGTTCTCTATTTACCACAGTTTAAGGTCGAACAATCACAGAATCGGCGGATTACTGCCACTGCATGTGTATTTATGCCCTCAGGAACGGCTTGAGGTCGGCGCTATGGGATATATTTAAGTCCAGGAAAACTGCTCAGCTGGCTTGTTCTTATCTGGCACGTGAGGCTTTACTGGGCCTCTGCTCAGCCTCCTGTCTGTATGCAAACATACATGCAAACATACCAGGAATCACATTTCTTTGATAAAAGAGAGAGAACATGGAAGATACTTTCCAAAAATCACGCTGTAGGTGTCAGAGTGCAAAAGTTTCTGGTGACTTTGTGCAGCCTGCGTTTGGGCGTGTTGTTTGTGTCTTTTTTTAATCCAAGGGTGGAGCTCACTTTGTGCGAGACGCTGCATGTTTGGACTTTGTTTTCTCGTGTGTTTGTACCGCTGCTGTGATACACCTCATTGTGTGGTTTAATCTAAAATCTGTGCAAAGTGAAACCTAGCAAAGTCTTACTGTAAGCAGCTGTGGTGAGATGAAAAAAAAAAAAAGTTTTTCCTGTGATGATTTATGCATTTTTAAACCATACTGGGAAGTTACTAAGAACAGGATGTTAACTCACTGACTGGATGTCTTGAGTAGTTGTTGACTAAAGCTGGCTGCTATGATTTAATTTTAAAATAAATATCTACAATATGCTGCTGTACACATATTGTTGCTATGGTTAATGGTGTCACGATGACACGTGTAAAAAGAGCAGCTTTACATGTAACTATGAAATCAGTTCTTTTTTTTCCCTTCACTAATAAATCCACTTTTCAGATTTCAACCCATGGTGGCTGACTGCCCTAGCTGGGGGATCGGTGACTATACCAGATCTAATTCCTTTCTCACAGTCTGGAGCCTGGCTTTGAGAACAACCTGAGAAGTAGTTCACTGTATCTGATCTGAAAACCCTAACGTTGTATCCAACATTGGAATTGCAGAGTGCAGGTGGCCCCTGTCAAGTGATAGTCAATATGTGGGAGACCCATCATCAGCCTCGCACGATGAGCCCCACAGGTATAGAACAACAAAATACAGGTGCACGGTTTGGTTGGGTTTGGTAAAGTGTGTCATACTCAAACCCCCTACAGAGCTCCCATCCCCTGCTGTCCTACAAATAAGCGCTGCCCAATGACAGTAATGCATCTCGCTAAAGAAAACAAGTTTGCCGCTTTGAGTTGGGGCCGCAAAATATATTGTTTCAGCATCAGCGCTGCTTAAACGCAACTTACTAAACTGTATTTAAAAAACATGGAATTAGTTGACATTCAGGCGCCACATATAGACAGCAAAGTGAATGAGGAACAGGGGAGACACAGTGAACAGGAAGACTTGGCTGTAAAAACAAACACTGCATCAGGTGTATTACCATTTAAATCAGCACTACAAAGCCCTGTATGACACGTCCAAAGCCAGATCAGAATGCCAACTGATGCCTTTACCAGTGTTACACTGAACGATCCAAATAGTTTTTTTTGCATTTTGTAAAAAAGATTTTGTAACGTCAATGTAGAGGCACTCCTCTACAAAATCATCCCAATCATTTTAGAATTAATAAATCTTTCAAAAAATAGACTAATTCAAGTCATCTGGTTATTTTTTAAGTATATATCCGAGAAAAACAAAATACCGCCATGTCAGTTTTCCCCGATATCATGCAGCCCTGCTGTGGGTTTATAAATACACTGATGCTTCCACGACTGCAGTGTTTCCTCCTACAACTCTGTAATTTACTGGTAGCCTCTGGAGCTTCTTGCTTATCAGTCACAGCGTGTATGCTTTTAAAAACAGATTAAGGGAAAGCACATGTCGGAATAATCAATAGCCACAGAGGAAACACTGCAATGCAGCACATGTCATGACCCGTCATTGTAGATCTCTCTGGTGAACATGCCATTGTGTTGACATAATGCAAACCAAGCTCATACAGTGTGAGCTTCATAGGGAGAATAGTTGCAGCTGCTTGGTGTTTTGTTTTCCACCACAACCTGTCACCCAATCCTTTTTATTTATTTCCCACTAACTCGCTTTTCCTACAAAAACAAGAATTTGCTCTAAATATGTAAAGCTTACATTTATGTTAGATGCAGCAATGCTTTGTTTGAGTTTGTAATAGCTTCATAAACAACCTGCTAAGTGAACCCTCGTGCTATACAAAGTGTTCTGCATAGAAATGTTTTGAAAACATCATCTATCCCGCTTTTAATGCTTTTCTTTCCCCTTTACTGCAGAAACACACCAGGATATTGATGATGGACAATTTGGCATTCACAGTAAGTTCAATAAAAAACACACAAAAGGTACAACTAATTGTCCAACACAGTCATTAGAATTACTTACAGGAGCTGCAGCAATTCTTCAGTTAGTTGTCTGCAGTTAAATTAAACGCCAACTATTATGATTATCGTTTATTCAGTCTGAGTACATTTTAAGAAAAACAAGTCTAAATTCTTTGGATTGTGGACAAATGAAGACGTTTGATGAACATTTTTCACCATTTTCTGACAATTTATAGACCAAACAACTGATTAATTAAGAAAATACCCAACAATGACAATAATTGTTAGTTGCAGCCCAGTGTACGCCACTTGGGGTTTACATAAAGACTGTGACGTAAAACCACCTTAAACCTAAATTATATGTCTCTCAACACTTCCCATCTTTTGTATAGCTCAGGTTTTGAGGTTGTCCATTATAACTGAGCAAAGCGCAGCCTCCGCCCTGCTATTGTATCTGAGACCAGTTCTGCAGTTCATCATTCATGAATGACAAAGCGAATGTCGAGGCTCATCGCGTGTTTCCTGTCTGCGTCCTCTGTTTCTATAGATGGGGTGAATTGTGTTGACTCTGGGTGGCTGACGTGCCAGACGGAAATTCGCCTACGTCTGCACAATTCTAAGATGTCCCCGGTGTCCATTACAAAGAAGAAATTCAAGAAGTCTCGCTTCAGGTATGGGTGATGCCAAAGGCCAAATTTAACACCAGACAGCCGGAGAAAGTGTAGCGTGAAAGCGACACAAGACGGATCATTGCAGTGCTACTGTTACCTGAGTGTAACTAAAGTCCTGCATACATATTTATTAAAGTAGCTAAAGCCAGGCTAATGCTACAGATTTACCCCAGTTTCACCCTTCAAACAAGGAGGAAATCTGCTCTGGGATCTTGTTGTGACTAGATCATATGGTAATGTGAGGGTGTACACATCCAGTCTTTCAACATGAACCCAAACTCAAACTCGTCATATCAAATATTATATTCACAAGTTAAAATCTTTTTAAACCCTCATTCTCCATTTTGCTTCCATCTGTTTTCCCATGAGGTCATGTGAGATAGTGCTTACTTTCCTGCTCCCTGATGGCTCCCTCTGGAACCATAACTTTAATCATGTTCTGTACTGTGTAATGTTGCATTTACCGCATGCCTGAAATTAAAGAGAAGAGTATCGGTAAAGCTTCTCCCCTTGTGTGTGATACAACCCTAGTCAGGCTTTTAAAAGTCCTTTCGTCTGAGCCTGTCTTAAGAGTTTAATTTTAAACTTTATTTTCTATATATGTGGCCTCCAATATGACTATATCTCACTAACTGTTCATTTTAACTATCTATGCAGGATCAAGCTGACATTAGAGGGCATTGAGGAAGAGGATGACGACGACGAAGAGGAGCAGCTCAGTCCTTCAGCTTGGCACAAGATGACCACAACCCTGGGGATCAGTCTCATCAATGCCAATGGCTATCGATCACGTCACTCGCAGCCCGAGTGTGGCTACGCTCTGGAGCCGTCCCAGTGGACCGAGTACAGTATCCACACCATGGACCCCGACAACCTGGAGCTCACCTTTGAGTTTTTTGAGGTAGTGCTCGAGTTAATACAGCCTCTTATCATTCTGCACAGTTGTACTGAAGTTTGAAATGACGATTTTTAATTGTTTTATCGGGGTACGTATAATTAGCGTTGTATTTATCCTGACTTTTTGTTTACAGGAGGATCTGAGTGCGCATGTAGTCCAGGGTGACGTCCATCCAGGACACGTGGGCATAGCCTACCTCCTCTCGTCCTCATTTTTGGAGAGTGGAAAAGACATTGGGGTAGTTACACTTCCCATAATGGGACGAAACTCCAGACAGACCATTGGGAAAGTAAGAGGTAAGGTAGTGTAGATATTTACACTGCAAAGTAAAGAAAATTTTTTTCGCAATCTGTACCACTTGCTGAGCAATCTGTGTTTCTATTTATATACCTGTTGGCTAATATTTGTGTGTACTGTAAACGTACAAAAAGTTTGACTTCTGTTTTAGTGGATTACCTGGTAATCCGACCCATCCAGGGGCTGCAGTGTGACATGAGCTCCTCGTTCACCAAATACTGGAAGAAAAGAAGCACTCTGGATGTGGGTCATCGAGGAGCTGGCAGCACGCATGCAGCCAAGTGAGTCATACTGGCAGATTTATACCTGCACATCAGATTGATCAAAAAGAGAGAGGAAAAAAAACATGTACATAGATAAAATAGCAGATTGTATTCATTAGTGACAGGAAGTGATTATAACTGAAATGTTTATATCAGCAATGTAAAACATGCTAGAGACTCAACCAGTTGATCTGAATCTGCAAACTTGCTGCTATATGTTCAAGGTCAGGATCTTTAACTGAACAAATGTTTTGTTAGTGACCTGAAAAGAAAAGATGCATCTGTGCAGTTAATTATTAATCGCTGAATACTCAAGAAGTTTTCATTCTGCTGATGATTTAGCCGTTCACATCAAGTCCTGTCAATGTGTTTTTTTGCTTGGGTAGAGTGAACAGTTTGGATTTCATTGTCTAGTGATTAGTTTTGATTTTTTTTTCTTGATTATTAGGTCAAAAAATGTCAGAAAATGGTACAAATTTTGGATCAGTGTTTCCCCAACGCTGTAGAGGACTTCCTCAAATGTCTTGTTTTGTCCACAATTCAAAGAGATTCCTTCACACAGGAAGAAAAAAACCCAGAAATCTTCCAATTAGAGTAGCTGAATGAGAGATTTTTGACTGTTTTCCCCTTTTAAAAAAATACTCAAATCAATTATATGACTGTTTTAATAGTTCATCATTCATTTAATAGTTGACAAATGGATTCAACTTTGCAAATTTAGTTGTGATGGATGGAACAAAAAAAGTGCAAAGTTTCACTACAAGTAAATGCATCCACTTATTTTTGTCTACATTTAGAAATGCATGTTTCCAACGTGAATTCCTGTAAAAAATGTTTTCTATTATTGTGTATTTTACAGGCATCACAGAGTCACAGAGAACACAATAGCCTCCTTCAAAAGGGCTGCTAAACATGTAAGTCTCCGAGATGATTAATGCATGAGTGAATACTACCTTTGACATGACCGCTATTTAAATACTTGTGTTCTATTTGTGTACTTGCAGGGTGCACCCTTTGTGGAGTTTGATGTTCACCTCTCCAAGGACGCGGTTCCTATCGTTTACCATGATCTCACCTGCTGCATATCCACCAAGAAGGTAAATTAAAGGCCTGTTGTACTTTGCTCTGAAACTCCTCCGTCTCTATTGATATTTTGTTTGACTGGGAAACGGTGTGTCACAATGTACAGGTTTTTCATTGCAAGCTACACTGAACATTGATCCCTTGTTGTGCTAATAATTCTTTCTCTGACTCGGCAGAAAAATGACAAGAATCTGGAGCTTATTGAGGTCCCAGTGAAAAACCTGACATTTGACCAGCTGCAGCTTTTGAAGGTAAATCTGCTTCTGGTTGGTTCATAATCTCATTTACATCATCAGTTAACATAAAAACAATCTCACCTGGATCAGGAAAAACATGTATTTAAGCATGCATCATAATAGGAATGCAATCAGACTAGCTAGGCCACATCAAGAGGTGGTGTGGTTCGCATTGAAACCGGATCGCAGCCAGGTGTCCATGCAGTCTGTGCAGCCTGACCTCATTTTTAGGAAATATAGGTTGAAAGGTCACCAAACACCACTGCTTCCCTACAGCTCAAGCTTTTACAGTGAAAGCTATGAATAGCAAAGGTCTTCTCTTAACAAATGATTAATGCATGTCCATGGCATTGCTTCCCATCAGCACCAAGTTTGAATCCAAAGCACAGTGAGTTAAATGTCATCATGCAGATTACACCAGCTGTAAACAAAAACACATTTGTTTTTTTTTAGCAATTATTTGTCTACTTAGCTGATGCTGAGTTGCAGTTGTGTATCTGTATCTGTATCAGCTAAATGTCAGGCATTATTAATGTCTTGTTGTTGATATGGCAGTTATATGCCAAAAAATATTTGCACAATTATGGCTAAAATGACAATCAGGTTATTTTAATCATTACTGAGATCATGTTTGTTAATTAGGGATAAAATATAATATTTGAATAAATATAGAACTGCTTAGGGCTGCAAGGTGTCACAGTGGTTAGCACCGTTGCCTCGCAGCAAGAAGGTCGCCGGTTCGCGTCCCAGTGAGGACACCTGGGATCTTTCTGTGTGGAGTTTGCATGTTCTCCCCGTGCAAAACATGCTGAGGTTAATTGGTGATTCTAAATTGTCCGTAGGTGTGAATGTGAGTGTGCTTGGTTGTCTGTCTCTAAGTGTAGCCCTGTGATAGACTGGCAACCTGTCCAGGGTGTCCCTTGCCTTTGCCAGCAACTTAAACATTTGTGTGACCAAAAATTACTTTAAAAAAGCAACATATAGCGTTCTAAATCAGATTTACCCAAGCTGAAACCAAGTGATTTTATCTGCATGGGCTGTGACTGGAGCATTTTAAAATATCAGTCAATCATAGTGAGAATTAATTGTAAGAAGCCAAAGTCCAGTAACCAGAACTACTCTCATTCCACCTATTCACCGAAAATACTATTTGTCTTTTTGATCATTCATTGACTAAACAAGTGACATATTGTTTTTCACTGTTGATATTTAAGTGCATAATGTATGATTTGTTTCTTTGCACAGCTGGCTCATGCCACTGCCATGAAAGGAAGCGATCAAAAAGGTATGCAGCTGTTTTTTGTCGTTTTGACACCTCACTGTACTTGCTTAGACCTTGGACGACAAATCGAAGTAGCTTAGCTGTAAAATGTTATTAGTATGTTAGGCAATGTGCCTGTATTACATAATGTGTTGAAATTTTAGCTTTGTTCCACAAACTACAGTATGCTTCCCTGTAAAGTAGATCAAAAGACGAGCATAACTTCACTTTTGATCAACGATTCTTCTGTTTACCTCATTGCACATCACATAAAAGTGGTGATGAATATGTAATTAGGTCAGCAGATCATTTTTATTTTGCGATCGAACATTCTTCTATTTTGTTTGTTGCTTAGATCTGCTGGACGAGGAAGATGAAATCGATGAGCACCAGCCGTTTCCTTCACTCTCACAGGTAGATGACTTTATGATGATATACTTTGTTGTGAATATTTTATTGTCTACATTGTATTGTGGTCTTATGAGAATTAAAGCTGTATATTTTAATTACACTGTGGATGTAAAAGCCCAGCTAGGGACAGGAGCTTGTAATTAGCAATAGCTCTAAACTTTCTGTGCAGCTCATCGGTTTCATGTGCTGTGTTGGAACTGCATCATCCCTCATAAATAAAAAACAAATTCAGTTCAGATATCGTTGGCTTCTCCTCTCCTGGGCTTAATTTTATGTGAGTAAAATAATTATCTGATTTTGTACCTCTTCGCAGATCTTCCAAGCTGTTCCTGAACACGTTGGCTTCAACATCGAGCTCAAATGGATCTGCCAGATGAAGGTGAGTATTCTAAAACAGAATGGAGAAAAACAGGCACTTTTAATTTATAGAACAAGCTGATGTTTTTAACCATTTTACGTTGACAGGACGGGTCGTGGGACGGCAACTTGTCAAGCTACTTCAACATGAACACCTTCCTCGACATTGTTCTGTCCTGCGTTCTGCAGAAAGGCGGAAAAAGACGCATTGTGTTCTCCTGTTTTGACCCAGATATCTGCACCATGTAAGTGCAATTGGATTAAGAAGGCACGCACCGAGACCTAACGAGCTGTAGGAACTGCATGTCGTTCACAAACACAATAGCATTACATGGGCATGCATACAGGCTTTATTCAATAGTAACTGAAGGTTTCACGTAGATAAAGAACCTAGCAAAGATTTTTCTGGACTTTCTCATGAAGCTGACATATTTCACTATTTCTATTAAAACACATAATATTTTAATTGTGTTTAAAGACTGACAGGCTATCGTCATGTAATTCAGCTTCTAGCTTTGGAAAGCATCACTCAGGACGTAGAACTGCTGCTTAAGGATTTGGTTATAAACAGGTGTTCTCCAGCAGCTCATGAGATCTGTTTCTGTTTGTCCTTCAGGGTGCGAAATAAGCAGAACAAGTACCCCATCCTCTTCCTGACTCAGGGGATTTCAGACAAGTATCCTGAGCTGATGGACATCCGCTGCCAGACCACTCAGATCGCCATCAGCTTCGCCCAAAGTGAAAATATTCTGGTGAGCAGTATTGGCATAGTAGAGCTGCAGTCAACCAATTGAAAATCTGCAACTTATTTGTAGATTAACTAAATCAGCCAGAGTGCATTCTACCTGCTAGTCTTTTCAATCTAAATAAAGCCTAAATAAACTAGTGTTTCCAGCATAGCAAAGTTGGGAGGTTGTGTTCACAGGTAGTCCATTCCTCCCATTACTAAAAAGGATGGACAGATCCTTGAAAGTCATTTATATTGCACTTTCTCCTTATTTAAATTAACACCGGAGGTTGACTGACGAGTAAGTATTTGGCCAGATGAGAGTATATTGACCAATTTTAAATCATAATTTCGACTGTATTTTAAAAATGCATGTGTAATTAAAAATGTTGCAGCGATGTACATTTAGAAAAATTCTACATATACGGTTTTAGTGACAAAGTCTCTCCACTTTTAGCAGCTAAATTAAAAAAATATTTATAATTTTAATGAAGCCAAGGGACTTTGACAGCCTTCACTGGAATTTAGCGCACCATCCCCTGTGCTTTGCCTCACATGAGGGTGAAAATGTTCAAACACTTTCCTCTTTTCATTCACTGAACCTAATCTGTTGCTCTTCCAGGGAATCAGTGCCCACACCGAGGAGCTGTTAAAAAACCTCAGCTACATCGGGGATGCCCAGGCTAAAGGTCTGGTGGTGTTCTGCTGGGGAGACGACAACAACGATCACGAGACCAGGAGGACGCTGAGAGAGCAGGGAATTGACGGGCTCATCTATGACAGGTAGGTTATAATTCAGCATGCATATCTGTGGCTGCCACGTCAGTTCTTGTGCAACCACGAACATCAATGTGGTGAATGTCCAGTGTGAAGGTTCAGTGTAATGAGGGGTAAGGAACTGCTGTCTCCTCTTGTTTTGCACTTGGGCTTTGTTCATTACATTTCTTTTTCTGTTTCAATTATTCTTCATTACTACTTGTTCATCAGCTGGTGCTAAAGAAGATGCTACACTACATTAAATATACTAGCAATCACATATTATACATAATATATCACATATAGCAGTTTTTTTATAAACTTTCCAAGCAGGTTTTCTGAAACCTGGGAAAGATTAGTTACGGTAAAACAGTTATTTTTAGCCAGAAGCCCACTTTTTGGTTGTCGTGTGAATTTCGTAGCCTGGAGATGCTTCAGTTTGCTGTCATAAATTCCTGTGACAGGTTGTGGTTATGTGATGTGGGCGTTAACTTGAACCCAGTTACAGCTTTCCCAAGTATTCACTTCAGTGTTTGATTGTCCACTAAGAAGGTTAGGGAGAATAGTTATTTCCTTTACAGTGTTTTGCTTTGGGTTTTAATTAAGTTTGAGCTGTGACTGTCTGCTACAGTTTTCATCGGCCAGCTGCTGAGTTGTTGCTGTTGCAGAAACAAACTTTCACTATTCCAGACAGGTGAATGATTGCCAGAGATCTGCTGCTGTCGTATGTGCTCAGTGTAGATAAACACGTGAATTACAACTACAGGTTGCGTCACAGTGCTGTTGTTGTGGTACAGGCTGTTGGTGGAAATCATTGCTGACACACGCAGACAGACAAGTTAAAAAATGTTAACACACACTGCGCTTTAAAGCTGAGCGACACAGGGAAAACACCACTTTTCTGACAGATGTTGGAATTTGATTGTAAGTCAAGCTTCTCTAGTCTTCTCTGTGTAACATGTGATGGGGCTTTAACACATGAGCTACCCTCAAAAACATGACACAAGGACGACGGCACAAATTTGTGACACCACATTTAAAACCCAGAGTCAGACACACTTCATAACATCTATTCCAAATTACAGCCTTTTGCAGTTTGATAATTTCATTGCTTCAAGATCAATTAATTCTTCAACCCTCCTGGAAATTAAGGATTCAGATGGTATGAATATGCATTTTGATGCTAATCCATTTGGCAATACGTGGATCCCATATTTCCATTGCATATTGTATTATGACATCTGTTGTATCCTGGAAAACGTGTTAATCTTATCATTTAATGAAAAAGATACATCACACTTGGAACACATTTTCAAAGTAATGCAGTAAATTTAAGTCAAAGCAGATTCGAAATTGGCTCGTTTTTCAAACCAGGTAATTTCACTGTCGTGCTCTTGGGTCACACATTTTACTGCTCTTTTGACTCACAGGTCAGGTGGATAAGGCCACACTGCGAGCTACAAACTACTCCGGTCATGACAAACTATTCTAATCAAACACAGATAATACACCTTGATAAACGTTATCCAAATTCAGCTTTTCGTGCTGAAGCCTGTTAAGTAACACCCTGACCCTTGTCCCGCACACAGTTTTGTCTCTACTGGCTGACGCCACACCCGAGTTATTAAGCAGGCATTTCATTTTCATCAACAGACTACTGCATTCATAACTGCTATTCATCTGAACACTCGGCTGTTTGTCAGCATGTTTTTCAGGGTCTACGTGTTACATAATCCGGCACTGGCAGCGATGTTAATTATTTGGCATCTGTCATGGCGTCAGACAAAAAGGTTTGATTATTCCTTGAGTAATCTGTGAGCTGGAAATTAATTTACAGCATTGGCCAATGCTTTACATAAGTAAAGCTTGCATTGGTAGCAGAGTGCAGGAGTTTTGTCTGTCTGGTCTCAACAAAAAGCTGCGTGATCAGCAGGACGTGTTTGTTCAGCCGTTTCACTTCTGTGTTTCACTATACAATGACATTTGTTCTCCATTTGTGTTTGCACTTTGGCCCAGATTTTTTCAGACCCTTGCAGAAAGCCGAACACAGACAGTGAACCCCTTATTAGTACCCAGTAATCCCTGTAGATTCCACTTCATCTCAAATCTATTTTTAAAAAAAAATTCTGACATCTCCAGGTTGTTGTTGTAACTGTGCCTCTTTCTTGCAGAATTTGTGAAAGCTTGGTGCCACATTTTGACTCAAGTTCTCCAGATTCCCGTAATGTCTCTCTGGTTCCTGGCTGTGTTTTGTTGATGTACTCACTCTACACCCCTTGGCTTGTTTTTGGTCCCCCCCTGCTCCTCAAATACTACCTGAATAAATATTACTCATTAAATGCTACAGGAACAAAATAAGGTTCCTGGACAATGATGCAAGACGGTTGACTTATCACATTTTCTACGCCTTAGCAGCACCGTACTAGTTGTTGTTTTGGAATCTTTAAAAACGTTTTTTGATTTGTCAACTGCCATGTTTATCATTTTAAGGCTAGTTTCTACAGCTGATAGCGAGGTCACTTTTTTTTTTTTTTTTCTACATGCCTGTGTATTGCTTTGGGTATGCCATGAAAGGCCTCCTTACTCGCAGTAAAAGCATGCTTGATGTTATACTGGGTGATATTTTTGAAGAGTGAATGGCTTGCCCAGTGCATGAGTACCTGTATACACTGCTTTGAACTGCTAGTTTTGATCTAATTTTCCTTAAGTTGATGTATGCAGCTTTCATATCACAAAGCCACCTTGACCACCATACATCCTAACTAGGTGTAGTCCTAGAAGTCCAACAAGTACCTGCATTCAAGCTACACATTTAAAAAAAAAAAAAAAAAACACTCCACCTCTCAGATGTCACAGCTTTTTCTTTTTTTACAACTATATTTTCTATTATTTGCACCTATCATGCTTGTGGATGATCTGCTTGTACTATAGTTTATTTTATTTGTTTACTTATTATTTTACAAAAGGGGTGATCGCACTGGACTCTCCGCCTTCTATTTGGCAAATCCTTCAGTGTATTGGGCTCATTTTGCCTGTCAAATATCCTACATTTGCCATTCTTGATTACCAAATTCTAAAAACTGGCTTCAGAGTGTGTTCACTTTCAGAGACTTGGTTCCAGACAGATGGTGTGATGCCTTCATTTTTGACCTAATGTGCTTTGGTGATCTAATCTGCTTTGGTGCAGGTTGTAAAATTGAGCCACTCAAATGTAGCTGATAAGCCAGTGAGTGGTCAACTCAAAGTACACTCGCTAATCAAGTAAAGGGAAATTTTGTGTCAAGCCCTTGGGTGTTGCTTGACAAAGTGTGGAACATTGCCAAGCAGGTAGAAAGTGAGGTGGTCAGCTCAAGGAACGGATGATATCAAAAAATTATATAACCCTCTGAAACCCAAATAGTTCCTGGCATTTTGTTCACTGCAATATAAAGTCCTGCACCCTAACTGTAAATAGCATGATTGCTGGAAGTAGAGAGAACTGAGAAGTCTTCTGTGCAGTATGTCAGAGTAGTAATGGGATAAATCTTGAAAAAGAAGAAGAAGAAAACAAGTTGAATTTGTTTATCTATTTTACAAACATTAAAAAGAAAAAAAAATGTACAAAGTTTTTCCAAATGCCTACAGGTGTTACCAATACTGGGGGAAAATGGTGGGTCAACATACAACAGCTATTACTTTAATAGAGTTTTTAACTTCTCCATCTGCTCTGTGTAAACACAGCCTGCAGTTCAACCACATTGCTCCCCAATTTTTTTCGTCACTTGCTTGTTGGTTGCAACTGATGACTCATGATGATTTTCTTAGTTTTTTTTTCTACAGAATCTGTTGCAAATGGTTAATTTTTAGTAAATTTTTCAACGTGACATTGATTAATGTGATTTTGATGAACTATATGGATTTTAAACTTTTTGTTTGAATTCATTTTGCCAATGGATTGTCATGTCACATATAAAACACTCAAGGACCATTAGAAAGTTGACAATCTGAGCTTCTTTGTGCTTTTACACTTTGGCTCTTATAAAAGGCGTAATTTTAGCAAATTGTTTGGCAACTTTTCTTAACATGCCTTTCGATTTTACCTGTGGGTTTTTGGGTTCAGAGGGTTGAGAGCAATCAGAAAAGGCTTTCTCACTGCCAATATGGCAACCAGTGCAATCATTCCCCAGGTCATAAATGAATGCAGCAGGCATTGCTGTTTCTATTGAGGTGGATGCATGAAAAACATGAGTGTGGATTACTGTTTGGAAAGATTACCTCGTTGATCAGTAGTTTAGAGCTGAGCTGGACTAGTCTTCATATTTGCGCATTTTGCCTGGTGAAACCTTTTGTGCAACTTAAATCAGAATTAAAATACTGTATTTTTTGTAAGTTTGTACTAACAAAATATTTTGTTTTACTTCGCGGTACTGTTAATATATCTCTAACAACCTCCAGTTGATTCTAGTGTGACATTATCGTCATACTGTCACATCCTAACGTGTTGCATAATGAAGTTATGAAGAGCTTTGTTTGATCTGATAATCCTACGGCTGTGCATCCGTATCTAAATATGCCTCCTTTTTCCCTCTATAGTATCTGTGATGAACACGGAGAGCAGCCAAACATCTTCCAGGTAGAGGAGCAACACTCCCTGCGGGAGGTCATTACAGAGGAGACCCTAAAGAGCTGTTCCTGCGACTCTATTCCCTGCTCCAGGGCGCCCTGCACCGCCTCCAAACCCTTTGTTGGAAGCGTGGAGTCCGATTCTGGCCTCAGCTCCTCCTGAACATCCCAGAGAATCGACCTTACAGTTTATCTTGTTGTATACTCACACTCAAGAGGTCCATGGTAGGAACGCAGGTTTAAATTAAAAAAATAGTTCTCATGTCTTTCCTATTTCACAAATAGTCACAGGATCAAAAATCCACTTCAGCCATTTCCACTCCACTCAGACTTTGTCTAATGTCTTGTATCGTCAGCAGTTATATTATTTATGCTTTCTATTGAAACATGTGGATGTTCAGCCAAAACCTGACTTTTTGTTTTTCCTGACAATCAACAGATTGTTTAGGGATCAGAACAGTCTTTATTATCGGGGAACAATGTTAAATTAGAACTTCACAGTTAATATTTATTCAGCCAAAACGTTGCATCTCCTCATAGTGCTAAAATTTCATGCATATGATATTTTACGGGTGATGAAGTTTATGATGATGCAGGGCTATGCTGTTATTTTTTTTTTTCCTGTTTGTGCTGTTATGTTTGATTCAGTGCATTTAGCCATTACCTGAAGTGTTATTTTAATGGTCTCCCATATCATAGAGTAATAATTTGGCAGCTTTTTCTACAAATCACAATCAGCTGCTGGGCTGCATTTGGATGAGGGTGCAGGTTGCCATTTATAAGAACTCACTTCTTGGTAGATATTGCGCTTTGATATAACCCATATGACTGATTTAGCATGTGCTCCCCTTTTTCTTTTTCTTTAAACTCCTGTTTTTTGACTTAATGATTAAGATGAGTTGCAATCAAAAAGTTCAGCGTTTATGAAAAAATAAAAAATAAAATAACCACACTGAGGTTACAGTGCAATTGGAGCACCCACACGCCATCGTGCTACAGTTCAGGTTGTTTGCGCTGAATGCTTTTCCTCAGACAGCTCAGGACGTTAAAGTAGAACTCGACGTTGACAGGAACAGTCTGAAGTTTTGGATCGCTCGTCGCTGCTGTTATTGTAAATTGTGCTCTGCATACTGTATGTACTGTAGCCTTAAGTTTCAGAAAGCAGAATGTTTTATTTGTGACAGCGCACAGACTTACCACAGCCTTAAGGGGTAATAAAATCACATCGTTATGTTTCTGGCCTTTAGCTTCAGCATCACGAGCTGAGACGTGTGTAGTACTTCCTACACTACCTTCACAACACCAATACTCTTTATCTCGTGGCAGATTATTTTCTGTCCCAAGTTACCCTTGAATCCATTCACATGATGCTGACTGTATATAGCTGACTCACCGCACAATCTCTCAACTACAAACTCTGATGGTTAATGCATGCGTTGTCTGTATGTCTGTATGACAGAACAACCAGGAAGAATGAATGAACCAAGTGTGTAATATCAATGCCACTTGTAATGTAAATAAAATTAAAAGCTCTGTTTGTTTATTTTTGTGTTTGACTTTTTCTTGTTTTGCTGCAAGAAGAGTGGCTGTTTTAAATGACTGAAACGTTGCAGCTCGTCTGTTTACAGGAATGAATTTAGACTTTGCTATTTTACCTGCTGCTCAGCGATACTGTCGAGTCAATACAGAGATATTCTCGGCAGTTATAAATCGAAATGTCTGACTAGTTCTGACACTCATTTACAGAATATCTGAATTGTTAAAGCCTTTTGTTGAAAGTTCCTACTGCACAACACATTTTTATTAAAGTCTCCAGTTAGTGAGGGATTATTTGTTCAATTCTGCTAGACATCATCTAATAATTTATATCTGCAAGCTGATGACAGTTTTATTGCTTATGAGAGGCACATATATATTCAGTTAGCTATATTTTTAATTGAGAGAAGGCTGTAAATGTACCAATAAATGTAGCCATCCTGCATGCAAGGACACTTTGATTTAAACTTCCAGTGGGTAATAAGTACACTGGACTATCGAACACCTGACTCGTCATAGAAAAATGTCCTACTTTTTTTTGACATTTATAAGAGTTTATGAGCTGCATTAAAGGACTTTGTTAAGCATTAATTCTTAATCCTGTAAGAGTTTTTGGGTTGCCAGGTTGTAAAATATCCTCCTCCAGCGTGACACTTTGCTTGTCTTCTAACACAGCTCAGTAAATCATTTGAGACCGTTTAAGGAGAATATTAGATGCAAATCCCCCAGGTCAAAACCCTTTTTTTAAAACCACATATCAGCATTCACAGCTGCAACTGTATGGCCATTTATTGTTTTATACTTAGAGTTTAACTGGCTGTTAATGAATGAAGAACATAATACAGTGTGCCAAATGTGAACTGACGACGATAAGAGCTCGCTTATTACATTTTAAGAAGTCTAAACAGAAACTTTGACGTCAGTGTGTCCTGATTAGATTAGAAGTTCTGGTATCAACAATGCTGTGAGCTTTTGTTCAATTATAATGCTGTCTGCAGACAAGCAAAGTGTTGTGTTTGAGTGTTTTCCAAGAGCTTGCCACCTAAAATTGTTGCTCATAACTGATCAATAACGCATTAGTAGATAATATATTAACTTTTCTAATAATTACAGGTAATAAACCCCTTGTAAATAATATACATTTTAGTGTTTTGTGATTTTAGACTGCAGGCTATAAGCAGTTGACTGAGACATTAAAAAACAACAGTGCAAGTAAACTAACAACAACAGTGGTACATTACTGCAATGAAGGACAGGTTAAGCAGGTTAAGTATCTGATATCTTGTTCGTCAGTAGTTAGAAGTAATGAATTTATTCTCACATTGAGGTGGAACTGGGTTTCAGGCAGTGCTAAAAAGCACATTCACTCAAGTTTTTTACTTAAATGCAATTTTTGGGTACTTGAACATTTGAATATTTCCATTTTATGTATTTTATGCTACTTTATACTTTATCTCCAGTACATTTCAGAGGTATTTAATATGCTTTCTTCTCTGCTACATTTACCTGACAGATTTTTAAGATTAATATTTTACACAATAGATAATGTAAGAAGCGTTTAACATACAATACATGGTTACAAAATGAAACCACTGACTTTTAGCCTTTGTTTTTTTCTTACAAAAAGCAGTGTGTAGTCAGGCTCACATTTCATATGTCTGAGTTGTTAACAGCTCCACTCAATAGTGATTTTTCCCTCTAAACCTCATTTCAATGAATGTTCAAATGGTTTAATATCTCACCAAAAATCAAAGATTACAGACAAGGCCTCAGATTTATCTGTTGTCACTGCAAATCAATACAAAGTTGAATCTAAACTGGATATAAAGTCGTGCAAAGTCGCTCAAACTGCAGCAGCTAAAATAGTAACGTGCTGCAGAAACACTGATGCTTCACTTTTAATAATCTAATGATATATACACATATAATAATATATCAGTCAAAGGGACCAAACCAGGACTTGTAATTTAAAACCTCCACGTTTTGCTGTTGGGACTTATGTGCTTTAACTTAAGATGTTCCATGTAAGACTTTAACTTGTAAAGGATCTGAATATTTCTTACATCAACGCTGATTGTACCGATATCAGCTTTGTCTGCATGCATGTAACACTGCTAGTGCTGCAGTTTAACCGGTAGTTAATAATTAGTGAAAGCATGCTCAATAGTAGTAGAGACAACTGGTAATATCAGGTGTGTTATCTCATGGCGACTGTCTGGGAGAGCATCAACATAACCTTGAAAGTGATGTATCACTGATAAATTTCATTTGCAGCAGCCCCAGCTGTTGTGTGCCTAATCTTAATTCAAGAACATATTGCTGATAGGATCCTCATTACGTAAGTGTTACACACTAACCTGGATGGAAAGAATTTTCAGTCACTAGGAGACTTTGCTTGAGAGACCTGTTGTGCTCTTTTGTTTTAATCATTTGGGGGAAAATTCTGCAAAATTTCAATTCTCAAATAACAAGTGTCCATCATAGCTATTTACTGCAATATGCATACATGCAGGATAAGGTGTACAGTCACACTCGTATCAGATTTGTCTCTCATACCCCTACCAGCAGGAGAAAAAGACCAGGGGATAGTCTTTCTGGGTTAACAGACCTTTACTTAGTACTGAGGCAAAGTGTCACTACACAGAATTATTTGTGTGAACTTACCATAATTTCTTTGTCCCTGAAACTGGGCTTCTCTGATTTTATCTCTGCAAAAGATGATGTAAGGCCTCCTCTGTACAGTGAGGTCAAGCTGGCCTCCTTCACAGCACAAACCAAGAGCGGCGGACAGAAAACCTTCATGCAAAACAACACAGAGTTACAGGTGTACTCGACTTTGAGTGTTGTTTGAAAGAAAAGTACTCTACTGTTCAACTAAGAAATAATGCAATTATTGAGAGGCATTTAGGGGATATGCACATATTGTATTCTGTTGTATACTGTAAAAGTAGCAAATATGAGTGGTAAAATGTGGAATTTCTCATCATTTCACATCATTAAACTGCATTTAAAAACACTGAACATACTTTTTATTTTCCAAAATGGCCTCCTTTAAACTGCTACATTACTGGATTAGAAATGAGGCAGCTTATTTTACCCCTCAATTGGCATAATATTTTACACATAAATTAGCAATACGAAAGTGGCCTATAACTATAAAATGACTGAGAATATTTGAAAAGGCACAACAATTCCCTGTAAAATGTGGTAAATCGAAACACTCAAGTACAAGCACTTGAAAATTGTACTTCCAACCGCTAGCCCTCAGTAATTTTATTAGCAACATCTAGCTTTTTGCTGCTAAGGCGTGTTTACAGTGAGAAACATTGTTAAAACGGTATATTAATAGTCGTAGGAATAAAAAACAAAATTACAGAACCGTTAAATAATGTGAAAAGTACTCAAAAGTGGGATAAAACAAAGAAAACTTACGAAAGTGAAGCCTGGTTTCAGGTGTAATGTTTTCGCGCCCCCTGCTGTACGGACAAGCAACGTACACCGACTGCGTTGCGTCTAAATTATTCCGAAAATATTTGTTTCGTAATTTATTTTACGGAGAAGTTAAAATAAAATTTAATGGCTCATTATCATGTAAAAATAATCAAAAACAAACGAAATTTTAAATATAGTTCTGCCAACTGCTATTATGTAATGAGCAGTAAAAATAGCATGGCGTTTCATTGGTAGTTGTAGTTTTTTATTGGTGTGCTTTCAACAGCGTTTACGGCGTACGGCACTCAAACTCCCATGATGCCGCGCTGCTCGCCTAAGCCACTTGCTAGTGCACGCCTACGCTAAGTAAACCCGTCGACTGTAATCCTCACTGTACACAGCTGAATCCTCTGCGGGTATTTTCCGCCTCACTTTTAAGTTTGTTCCAGATACAAGAATAAAAAGAAATGGACAACTCCGGGAAAGAGAAGGAGGCGATTCAGCTCATGGCCGACGCCGACAAAAAAGTCAAGTCCTCCGGCTCTTTCTTGGGAGGGATGTTCGGAGGGTAAGACAGCACTGCACCAAAGAACAACAGCTAGCAGCCGTTAAGTGTCCGCAGCAAAGTTGGCACGCAGCCTGTTTCCACACAGACTTACACTCAGGTAGCTAGGTTAGTTTTCGACATGTTAAAATGTTGGAGAAGTTCAGTTAAATAAGAAACCGGTGGGATGTGACACGTGACACACCGTGCTATAATTCCCGCAAGTCAGTTAGCCAAGTTAGCTGTTACCCTGATTGTAAACAAGCCAGCAGATCACGACTCTCTCCAGGACCTGGCTATGGCCTGGAAGCTACGCAGCAGGGAACTTTGAAGATTAAAATACCTACTTTCTTGAAACATTTTTTTTATTATTGTTTCACCCACATAAGGTTTACAGTATAAATCAATACACTGTGTGCTGCTCTGCTGTCTGAACACTTCTTTCCTTTGTGGTTAATGTCAACTCAAGGATATTTGAGCATTCAACACACCGGTTTTTTGTAGTTAACACCTTCATCAGTGAAAACCCAAACACCTGATCTAATCCTGTCATAGTCCCCCAAGCAGTAACTGTTAATGAAACGCAGGTGAACATTAGCAGGTGTTAACACCTTCCTTAGTCCCCCAAATATTAACAGGAGAGGATAAGCTGAACCTGCACGATGGCATAAGATTCATGGTTTGGAGTGTAAACAACACATACATTAGATTGATGACTGTGGCAATAAAATGACTTAAAGTGAGACAGAACATTCTTCTGGGAGGCACATAATTTACAAGCTTTGATTTATCTGACTGGCATCAACAAAATGAACACAAATTAGCTGATGACTTTTCTCTATTATTTATTACGCCTGCATTCATTTATTCCAGAAATTTAGTTCTTGTTTCCCACATGTTTGTCGTTGCAGAGATTTCAGACAATGGGAATCGGTTAATACCTTCACTGGATATGTATTGCAGACATAATTAATTTCTCCCAAGTCAAAAAGAACATTTCAGCTATCCACAATGTCATTCTTTGTGGGACAAAGGATATCACCTTTACCTTTTGTGTATATGTGCTTTCTCTTTACAGATATGTGCAATTCAGGTGCAGATCACAATTTAAGTTGCGAATACCTGCATCTGAATTGTGATTTCCTCTCAATTCAAGAAGTCTCCATTGTCTTTTTAAAACATCTGTAATTGAGTTGGAACTAGTCAGAATGACGTAGATATCTCAAACTGGAGTTCTGCCTAGACAAAATGTAATTACAGATGTCTTGATTTAGGGGTTATACGAGGTTAAATGAAACTGCAGATAACTGTAGTTACGCCAGAAGCAAGCCAAAAGATATCGTGACACTGCCATGCTGACCACATGTGACCAGTTGTTTTACTGCCATGTCAGAGGAGCATGAAGCTCAAATTTTAGCCAATTTCGAGTCATTAATTGACAAAGCTCTTGTTCTCCACAAGTACATTGCTGATAGCTTCCTCTGTTTCACAGCATTTAAAAAAGAAATACTTACTACCACAGCAGCCATCATTACTCCTGCTAGCACTGTTTAAATGCTTCACAGGACCAATATCCACTGGGAAGCCGTGCACAAGCAGTGTCATGCACAACAATTGAGACTGGTCGTAACAATGCAATAATATCATTATCATATCTGAATAATAATTCTGAGTAGTCACAGTGTAAAAATTACGTTGTTGATATCTGTAATTCTGGATAGTTAAACTCAGCTATTAAATGTTAAACAGTTTGCCATAGTAGACACTGTTTCCAACCTTTACAAGTGTGAATAACCCCAAGGGAAGCCATAAATATGCCATTTATTTAACAGCCATCTTATTTTTGTATCTTGACATTGCCTTAGCATATAAATCATATTAATGATAACGATAAAAAGAAGAACTTGTATAGGTGCAAAATACAATCAGACAGCAGTTATTGTTGTGTGTGACTCAGGGTTTTTTTCGAAAGCTGTGCCCGATATGACCCCCAGATGTTACTACGCTGCAGTTCTCATCTGCTGGAAGGGTTTATTCTGGTAATTCTGTGGCTGGCCATGCAGTGATGTAATCCTCTGCCATGACTGAATAGCCACAGTGTTATTACGACTAAAGGGAGCTCTCAGGGGTCCACTTCTGGTCATGGTGGGATGGAGATCTATCGTGCCTTTGTCGAGGGATTTAGATAAACCAATCGACCTATTCGAGCATCTCGTTGACAAATGCAACAGCTTGGTACGCTGCACAGTTTATTAGATGTAACTTTAACTTATAGGACTGACTGATTATCTAATATGTCATGAAAATTGGTACTTTATTCAAGCCTGTTTCTTTTTTTTTTCCTCCTGTGTTTTTCTAGCGGACATCACAAAGTAGAGGAGGCATGTGAGATGTACTGCAGAGCGGCCAACATGTTCAAGATGGCCAAGAACTGGAGCGGTGCGATGGGCTTTTTATTACCTCAGATATCCAGCATAACAATTTGAACACACTTGAGAGGCTGTAAGATTATGTGCTGTGTTTTTTCTTTCTTGGCTCTATAACTGCAAAGCACAGCACTTGTGAAGGTGCCACAAGTGAAAAAAAATGTTGTAATTATGTGCATAAATTTGAGTATAGACTTCTTTCTGCCCTTTTCACCTTCCCCTTGTCTTCAGCTGCTGGAAGTGCATTCTGCAAGGCTGCACGTCTACACATGCAGCTGCAGAACAAACACGACTGCGCCACCAGTTTTATCGATGCGGGAAATGCTTACAAGAAGTCCGACCCCAACGGTAAGACCTCGTGGCTGCTAATTAAGTTCAAACTTGACCTCACATCACCTTAATGACTGAATTTGTTGGGCGGCTAGACGAATCTTACATTCAGCAGTGTGGAAATGAGGATTATATAAAAGTCTCCACTATCAACAAATGAGTCCAGTCTTCAGAGATGATTTATCACAGATTTTCATGGAAAACTTCAACACATTTTATCCCCATCTCACCCCGTTCACATCAAACCAAGCCGGCCAAAGCCTGCAATGAGGGAGAATGCACTTTTTAACATTCTTCTGTTGCTTTAATGCTGATATTGCAACAGCTGATCCACTATGTTGTGTAAAATCTGTCCTTGAACTGCATGGTATTTACTGGTGGTTGATTTATAGGTCTCTTTGTACTCACTGTGGCCCCGTTTAATGTCTCCTAAGCATACATGTGGCTTTTGGTCTGGGGGAGGGTAGCTGGCTGGCTGAGGTATTCACAAAGCAGGATTTCACCATTTGTATGCAACGTTTGACAGGATGTAACTTATAAGAACTTGTCATTTATAAGAAACTAAAGCTGGGGTAGGCAGAAATCTAGAAAAAGCTAGCAGAATCTAAATATTTAGCCTTCCTCCTGCATCTGTCTCCTTTCTGTCCTATCAGATGAAACCGGCAACACAAGCTCGATCGCAAACATAAACATGAAATTGAATTAGCTGCAGCCGTTAGCCTTTGGCTACAGTTAGCAAGAGGCTCAGTGATTAGCAACATTCAATAAAGCTGCTCTTTGCCAACAGCAAATGTCCCTGTACAACCTAATCAGCCCCTGTTTTATTTTTCTGTTTTATTCTTTTTAATAATCTTTTAATGGTTTATTCATTTACTCATCTATTATTACTTGTTTACTATTAGAATTATTCATTTTGCCATTGTTGTTATGGTTTTACCTTCCATTTTCTCTTATTCTGCGCATATTTCAGTTTGGCATTTTTGGTGCTTTTCTTATCTTATATGTATCCACTGGGTTTGCTGTATTGATTTTTTTATTTTTTATTTTTTGCTAAATCTTTTACCATGTTTACCTTTTGCCTTTCGGATCTTTTTCTTTCTGTCTGGCCTTCTGTTGTCCAATGGTCTTCCTGAGTATATCCTCCTTTTTTGGTTCTGTCTGTAAAGCACTTTGTAAACTCTTTTTTAAAAGGTGCTTTATAAATACAGTAAATATTATGAGGCAGTTTCCACTGCAGGGCCGTTTGAGAGTAGGTTGAACCTTTGTGCGTGTTCCAGCCACAGAAATCGTCCCTATTAAACCTCTTTTGTGGCTGTTTTCAGGGGAGAAAATAGTGCTTTTTGTAAGGTAGGTACTTCTGAGCAGCTGTGAAAAACTGCTGGACATGGCAACAAGCTCAATCCACCATGTAGGCTAATGTAACAAACCTCGGTTGTTTATTTCCTAGATGCTCATAGAACTGGAGTTACATTCAGCAGCTACTATTTGTGGTTGTTTTGATGCAGTCTGAGTTGGGGTCGTAGTCACATCTGATGGATTCTACACTGCATTGAAATGGACGATTAGAGATCTGTTTGTGCAACATTGCGCCTGCCTCGAGCTCCTGCAGTGGAAAGCGGCCTTTTACCATATTGATATATTATTAGAAAATGAAGTTAGCATCTTATCTGTCCAGGAGAAAAACGACCGTAGCAACTATAGCAGTGACTATACTGCAGTTCCTTGAGTGCACTTCGCCGACATTGACGTGTTTTATTGCATTTATTGTCAGACTCTCTTTGTGACGAGTCTGTGTTCATTGTTTTGGATTGCTTTGCAGTGCAGGTAGTTCTTGCCAGTGCTGAAGCAGCAACTTTGAATCTGTTTTTTTCCACTATCTCAAGAGATGTACACGTGCATCTGAATTTGTGGAGCCTCCAGAGTCAGAATAGACCTACAACTGGCCAGAGTCTCACGTCACAAGCTACATTTTATAAAGCTTTAAAACAGAACCAACAGAAGGCGCAGAAGCCTACTTTCCTCTCAGACCCCTTGAATTACGATACCGAACGCGAATTGTGGATTTTTTTTTCTCAACGATGCCAGAAATTCTGCCTACCTCAGCTTTAATTGCATCATTCACCTCATTTCACCCTGCTGAAATAGCTTCCTGTGGAGGATGATGCAGGACAAGGTGCTGTGCAAGAGTCTGTTAGATTTCAACACAGCTAACATGATGTCTAACTGTTCCCTCCTCTTCTCTTAATGCTGCCAAAAGAGGCAATCAAGTGTTTAAATGCTGCCATCGATATATACACAGACATGGTAAGATGCACATAGCGAGTGTTCATCCGTGTTCTGATCCACTACAGTAAATCTGGACATGTCATTTTTATTTTTGCCCTTTCTGATTGTTTAGGACTGAATGTCACGTCATGTGTGTTGCTAGAAGTCATCTCCATACATATTGACGCACTGTAGCAGACTGTCTCTGGGCTCACATCAACATATTCACAGTTTTGTTTATTCACTGCCGATACTTTGATCAAATTATCTGCTTGTTGTTGCCTTGAGAGCGGATTCATTTTAAATGCTAAAACCTTGTAGACGTGAAGCCACAGGCTACTGTCTGACCTCGCCTCTCTGCACCGAGACTGGAACACAACACTTCCATTGACTCGAGAGGCGTCTGTGCATAGATCCACTTAGTAATGATTTCTCCTCTCTTCCCCCATCCTCCAGGGAAGATTCACCATCGCAGCCAAGCACCACATCAGTATCGCAGAGATCTACGAGTCTGATCTGGTGGATATCGAAAAGGTAAAAGTACCAGAGGTCACGCAGTCAGACAATACCGCCGACCGTTATCAGTGCTGCAGCTATGGGGCATATTTGTTTCAGGGAGCACTCACTGTACGTGTTGTTTTGTCTCTTGTGAAGGCGATTGCACATTATGAACAAGCAGCAGACTACTACAAAGGAGAAGAGTCAAACAGGTACAGTTTCTCACTTCACTGTTCCTCTGAAATCAGAAAAAGTCCTGATTACATGTTAGAAATCAAAGAACAAAGTAATGACAGTAGTAATTTACAATAGTATTTATAACCGTAAATAATTCAGTAGTCGTAGGAGGAAAGCTTATGCAGTGTGTTACATTTTTTAGATGCAATACACTGATTTTTATTTTTATAAACTTGAGGGTGAATCGGTTCAATTTTGCATCATTTATTATTCGCTATTATTATAATTATTACTGTTTTGTACCGCCATGAAACCTCTCCAGTTAATTACCCAAAACAAGACAATTATTTTTTGTATCACAACTTTCCTGAAATGTTGTGTTTAAATATGCAAACGAGGCATCATCTATCAAATAAGTGCTAATCTGCATTCATTTTCATAACAGAAATCTGAACTTCAGATAAAGCCAACTTCAAAATTCTTGTTTTGTTTTGTTTGCACGTTAGGGTCAAAGGTTTTTACAAAGGAAGAATCTGGAAATCTCTTTTTAATCACTCCATAAATCAGAAAATAATGTCAACACACATACAAACATGAATTATTTTGGTATTTTTTAAGGAATAAAATGTTGCTGGCTCAAAAACAGAAAAAACAGCCTGTGAAAAGATGTAAACTTCCAATTTATGTGGGTTGCTTATGAACCAGAGTAAAATGCGTTGGTTAGGACTGTTGATATGATATATAGATATATGGTATATTGCACATTAGCGTTAAAGAGCGGTGCTGCGTGAGGGATGTTGAACTGCTGGCGGTTGGTTTGCGGCCGTTTTACCTGCCAACGGAGTTTTTCGAACGTCCTGGTGATTACAGTTTACATCCCTCCTCCTCGGCTGATGCTGCTGCAGCCTGTGAACTCATCATAGTTCAATGTCCCAGCTGCAAACATCACACCCTCAGTCTCTGATCGTGATCTCAGGAGACTTTAATCATACATTGCTCTCTGCCAATCTCCCCACATTCAGCCAGTATGTGGACTGGCCAACCGGAGACGGTGGGGCCTTGGACCTGCTGTGTACAGACACCAGGATGCATATTACTTAATTATTGTTGTTTTCTTGTACTTTCTATATGTTTGGATGCTGCTGTGGCATGTAAATTTCACCCAGTGGGGGATCAATAAAGTATTATTCTATTCTGTTCCAAAAAAAGGGAAATGTTTGTGATCTAAACATATTTTCTGTATTTTCCAGTGACTTCTGTTTTACAACACATCTCTGCTCTCAAGCCTGCTCCAGCTAAGCAGCTAATGAACATGTTGCTGCACTGGTTTCACAGTTTCCTTACACATATGTAGGTTTTATAGTTTGTTTTATATGTACTTCTTCCTTAGTTCTGCCAACAAGTGTTTGCTGAAGGTGGGAGCTTACTGCGCTCAGTTGGAGCAGTACCAGAAGGCTATTGAGATCTACGAGCAGGTGAGTGTTTCTGCCTTATGCCTGCACTTCCTCCGTCTTCTCCTCTGATGCATTTTGCATGATTTTAACGCATCTAGGTCGGAGCCAACACGATGGACAACCCGCTGCTGAAGTACAGCGCCAAAGAGTATTTCTTCAAAGCCGCCCTCTGTCATTTCATCGTTGACGAGCTCAACGCCAAGGCGAGTTTTTTACCTTCTTGGATTTGCTCTCAGGATTTGGGATGCGGAGTTGTGGTGGAATTTCTAACGCGCCGTGTCTCCACAGATCGCCGTTGAAAAATACGAGGAGATGTTCCCGGCGTTTTCCGACTCCAGAGAATGCAAGTTGTTGAAGGTAGAACGGAGGGGTTTGATGACTTACTTTTTTCGCTCCTTAATCTATCAAGTTTCTGTGAGTAACTTTCAGATTTTCTTTTTTTTCTCCATTGTTTTAACAGAAACTTCTCGAGGCTCATGAGGAACAGAACAGCGAGGCTTTCACAGAAGCGGTAAGTCTTGTAAAAGTTCTCAAGTTTTAAGATAAGGCTTTTGGTGAGGAGTCGGCTCAGCTTGTAGTTTTGTTGGATCCCTCGTGTGTTAAAAAAAAAGTTGAAGGCTGGATCTCAGGTAACCGTTGAGTCTCCCAGGACTGTGTGTTTGTGTGAATCCAGTACAGACTCATGTAGTAACCGCACAGCACAGCTCCTTGAAGCTTTTTCAAAGTTAACTCAAAGTCAGAGAGGGACATCGTCTTTGTTACATACAATACGATTCTCTTGCCAGGAGTTTTTTTTATAATCCCATATTTTGCTTTTCGGGTTTTTCCTCTTGCGTGTTATAGGTTTTGTGTAAAAGTTCACGCCAAGGGGAGTTATCATCTCACACTGGAAACGTGGCTCCCAGATACCTCGATTGAAGTTCAGGCCTTTCTTCCGTTACCTTTCGGCGTCACCATGGAGCATATTTGCCAGCCTGGTGGCCAGTTTGTCACGCCCTCTAACAAAGCATGAGCAGCTTCCTTGAAGTACAGAAATGTTTTCTCATGCTTCTGACAGGGCTACATCTCTGCCAGATCTGAGGTTATGATGCATAAACCAAAGCCCCGAATGCTAGCTGTCTTTGCAACGTCTGCGGGCTGTTGTTTCAGGCTAGCAAGACCAGACCCCTGCCTAACTGAATGGGGAGTGAGCCTTAACTGCAGTTTCCAGGATGCAACCGGCTCCAGAGTTCAAATTCTGAAGGAATCGTGAAGGAAGTTTAACCTTGATCCCTCTTATCCTCTCAGAGACACATTTTACTCCTGCTACTTTATAAACAGCGCACCACCAACACCTCGCGTGTATCAGCCGTCTGCACCGTTAGTCATGTGAAGTCAAGTGGCAGGCCTGGCATTTTCCTCACTTAACGTGTTCAGCTGTTGCTAAGTTGCTGCGTTAGCACTAACAGCACAAGTCGAGCAACTGTCTCGTAATGATCACTTTAGTTTAGCACAAAATGCCTTACAGCGGTGTGATGAGCAATTCTGCCACTAACATTTATAGAACTGAATAGATCTTTATTGTCATTGTTAAACAACCACAAAAGGCATTTTAGCACCTCTGTGGATCAAGCAGCGCTTCACACATTGAGGCATCAGGAAGACGGCGAAGTCACAACACCACGGACTCTTCACTGACTTTAATGCTCCTCGATGCAACACTTTACTGCAGCAACATGTCGGTACTTCTGTCACACACCAGGAGAGACTCACTTCACACAACAAACCCACTAATCTGCGTCATCGCCTTCATTAGAAGAGAGCGTGTGTGTAATTTATATAACTATTGTTACTTTAATAGACAGAGCGTCGGCACTACATGAAGTACTCAGATCGTTTGCTTCAGGAAAAAGCACGAATACCACAAGTACAAATGCGCACGTGTGATCAGAAAAAAGGTACTATGAAGTAAAAAGTAAACATTACTCCCAGAAAAAATGTCTCCGGTGACTGTCAGAATATCTGAAAATATTGGAATTGAGAAAAAACAGAATTAAGAATAAGAATTGTTAAGAAGGTGCAGCAGCAGTGTACAGTGTAAGAAAATATTATTTAAGCATCTGAGAATGTGTTCTAGTGGAACCCAACCTGTAAATGTGCATCGTGAATACTGCATGTATTTTATCTCTACTATTCAGACTGTGTAGATACTGCATAGATCTCATACTGTTCATACTGCATGTGTACATTTATCTTTATTTTGTTATCTACAGCTATGTTTATTCTGTTTATACTGTGAATGCAATACACTGCATTTAATACACTCCACTTCTTCTTTTGCACCTCTGCTCAGATGCCAAACTGCATTTTGTTTTCGTAGCACTCAGGCAAAAATGTTGAATCTAATAACACGAGCTCTTTGTAAATACATCATCCAAATGCAGCGCTGGTACACAGTTGAACTTCATCTTTTTCTATTTTATCTGAACATGAATCCAAGCAGAGCAGAGCTTTCTAATCCTCCTACTGTCCCTCGTCGCGTTTCTGCTGCAGGTGAAGGAGTTCGACTCGATCTCCCGTCTGGACCAGTGGCACACGACCCTCCTGCTGCGCATTAAAAAGACCATCCAGGGCGACGAAGGCGACCTGAAATGAAAGCGACGCCGGCGCCGCGGAGCCGCAGCACGGAGGGACAAATCCATCACGCATGCTTTTCACACACACACAGACACACAGAGCGGCGCACACCTTCACACCCGCCTCGCCGAGCGCAGCGTCGGCAGAGGAGTGACGATTCTGCATATCCCACCGCTATACCGTCAGATCTTCGCTTTCCTTACTGAATCTAGTCAGAATGTAAATCCTCTCGCCCTCACCTCTGTCTAGAGGATTGCTGCATACCTTCTTCTGCTGAGATCCGTCCTGGGGGGGATTTCACAGCGGTATTTTTGGTTTTGATGTTAGTATTGACAAAGAGACACTGCATGTTTTGTACAATTATTGTTTCTTAGTCAGATGCAGCTTGTTTTTTTTGTTTTTGTTTTTTTAAAAATCTATTAGATATTTAAACGGATTATTTAAACGATCAGTTTTACGGTATGTGTGGATTTCAAGAATTATTTGTATTTGTTGGGATAGAAGTTGTTATTTATCCATTTTATCACCACAGGAGGTGACTCTTCTCGAAAAAGGGCAATGATATGCACTAAGTGTAGACTGTTAAACATTTGTAACTAAGCCACTTCATGATTTTATTAATTTACAACTCCTTTAGGATTCGTTGATGTTTTGAATGTTTGAAGCTACGATTTATCGTTTGCCTGTAAAGACTGTACTTTTTGAACGAAGAGCACCGACTCCTTATTCCCAGGGCAGTAATCTTGGGGTCATCACTCATCTCGTGTCGTGTCGTGAATTTCTCCTCGAAGGTTCGGCGGACCTTCCTGACGGCCAGTCGCTACGCATGTCATTGTGTATAGTTCAGTGTTGTGTACATTCACTAGTGTTAGCCAGACCAAAGTTTTTACGGGAGGGTCGGTGGCCCCGTGTAACCCAGCTTCTTCCAGGTGGAACAACAACAACAACGGGCTGTGGATATGATCTGTATGCTTGTGCAAATTGACATTAATAAAGGTATTATATCCCATAATGCAGTGCCTTTGACCTTAACTGTCAAACAGCAGTGTTGTATTAAGCTCGTGTCTGATCGATGACAGGGGCGGCTGCACTCTTGTATGAGTTTATTACTTTGAGGTTTTTCCTCCCAGCGGGGCTCCAAACAGTTTCAAAGGAGGTTCAGGTGATTTTTTTTTTTAACTTTAGTTACCTGAAGGAGACCGTATAGAACAGCTTAACTACTGTATGCCTGAAAGACATGTAGTGTCAGAAACTAATTAATGCCTGAGAAGGTGTTTGTATGGTCTGAACCTATATCAAACAGCAATATTTGGCCGTCTTGGCTCAGTTGTTGAGCGTCTACAAGATTTAATAACTTAATCGTGATTCCATGTTTCTAGGAGTTGTACAGGATTACATCATTTTTAACTGTCACACATTACAAACAGCTCAACTGTTGACCCGGCCCAGTATTTTAAAATGTGGCCTTTTCTGAAGCCATTTAATTATTTGGATCTTTGTCTGCATCCTCACAGGATTTCATGGCTGAGGGAGTTAGATTTCTGGAGATTTGGAATCCTTAAAATGCTTTTTTTCCCAGGGGGAAACAGTTGAAAATACAAAACTTAGCAGGTCTGAAAATGTAAGAAATTCTCAAAATTCAGCCAAAGTATTCAAAATAACTTAGTTTTGGGTACCAAATAATAAATAAATAAACTCTAAAGGAAGGGATACAAGTTCCACACTGCAGGTTTAAGGGTTTTATGTGGTGTTTTCTGAACTTAAATTACTTATAACCAATGGTGTACATGAGAAACTGGTTACCAAAAGAGAAGAGTGCCAGGACTGTGAAGGATTTAAACAACTCCATTTTATATTTACAACAAAATAAATTATCAACAAAACACTCTGCTGCCATTCCAAAGGTGTATAAAAAGCTACCGGAGCTGCTGTTTCCGGTCCGTCCCACGGAAAAGGAGTCGGACCGCATGGCATTATACATCAGGAATTAACAGTTTGCTCCATTTCATTTATGTTCCACGTGACCTGTGCCAGATCTTTCACTGTACATGATCAGATATGTACAATAATACTATACCTAATATGTTATTACACCTTAGATTTTTAATGAATACTAAAACATTCCAAAAGACTGAAACACCACACCCAGCTCTGATCGCCAACGATAAAAACACAGGACTTCAGATCACTACGAAACACACTGCTTAACCCAAAGAGGAGGGATAAATAAAATGAACGGGTTTCAATTCTTTACAATCAGACAAAAAAACAAAGACTCTACACAGCATCTTGATCTGAGGCAGTTTTATGTTCAGCTAGGGGGTCGTCTGCTGTCCTGTGCTGCCCGTCGCTTTGGTCAGCAGCTGTTTGCTCTTCCACGCAAATGTTGTCGCCGACGATCACAGTGTGAACGTTGGGCGGCAAAGTGTCCATCTCAGAAATGACTTTAGTGTCTGAAACCGGAGCCAAAATAGTCTGTGAGGCGGCAGCTTCCAGCACGGACGACGTAGAAACGGTGGGGATCTCCGACACTGACGCTAACAGGCTTTCAGAAACTGGAACCGACAGAGTGGATACGGACAAAGAGGTGGAGGCGGCGTCAGACAGGGGCACGCCGTGAGCCATGGACACCGGTAGCGTGAAGGGGATGGCAGAGCCGTCCAGGGAGATGACGCTGGCCCCGGTGCCGTCGGTGGTGACGATGGGCTGGATCTGCGTCCCCGGCGGGACCTCGGTGTGGATGACGGTGATGCCGCCCAGAGCGCCGTGGCTCACCAGGGCGATGGCCCCGTGGCTGGTCCAGTCAGAAGGCAGAGTGACGGGCTCGGCCGGAACCACGATGGAGTCGGTGTGGGTTTTACCAGCAGCGCCGGAAACGGAGCTTTTTCTGGCAGTGCTCTGTTTCTCCCCTGCTCCGGCTTTTTCTGTCTTTCCCTTAGTGGGAGATTTGGGTTTCTTCTCCTCCACGTTCCCCTCCAGAACCACCAGGTAGGTCTTCCAGGGAGCATCGGAGTCGTGGATCTGAAGGGTAAACAAGCGGATGTTAGTTTCACAGCAGCTAAATGTACCGTTAATGGAGGATTTCCCAGTAGAGTAGACAACACTAGCTGCACTCTGTACCTCTGTTGAAGACATTTAGGGAAACAGCATTAGTTCTGGTAATTACTGTGCTAACACGTGTTTGAGATGATTCACGTAAAAATCATGTTTTTGTTTCTTTGGAGCGTCTCACTTCCCTGAATCTCTGCAACCAGGGGTTAAATTATGATTCATGAGGTGGAGGAGGAGTCTTTATTTAGTGAGGTTGGCGTTCACAAATCAGAAATAAAGACAAAAAAATCAAATGAAAAAACTTAATTCCATTCATCTCTATTGTATTAATGAAGACTTTTGCATCAGACAAGAAATTAGGCTCATTCAAATACCCATATACTCCTAGCTATTTGAATGAAGCAACAATTTAAATTGATTTTAGGGGGGAAAAGTCCCAAAAGACAGTAATACAACATCATATACACCCACATATACGGCAGTGGCAGACAACTATTTTAATTCATATTGTTTTTAATAGATATTGTTTATTATTTGCACATAATTGAAAGTAGACAGGCTTTTCTTTGAATTGATCCAACCAAAGTATCAGCTGTAACCTTCCAGGCTCAGTATAAGAAGCATCTTTTTAAAATTATTTGGCTGACTGCCTGTTGCCATATTCTTGATTAACTTTGGGGATTCAATCAGTTTATGCTTGCTGTAATGCCAATACTGCAAATATTATTGCATTTAAGCAGCAAAACTGAAAAATCTCTGCAATAATCTACTCGATACACACTGAAAAAAAACAAGTGATTCTCTGAAGGAAGCAATATTTGGACCTTTGCTTCGTTCCCAGTTATTTCACTGCAGAAACTGTGAATGTGTCCACAGCAGCTCAGCTGTTTGCTTGCAGAAAAAAGCATTTAGGTGTACGTATGATCACAGCGACATGTCAGAGGCTGTGAATAATTAATGAAGTTACTGCTGCTGTGTGTACAGACCAGCTTCCAGTTTGGAAATAGTTTGGATCCTGCGGCTGTGTGATGCTGACAACAAAGAAAAGGAGGCAGCATTCTACATTCGGCACAAGACAGAGCTTGAAAGTAGATTTCCAGGTTTGTATGTGAGCTGGTGATGCTGGAATACTGAAGGAAACAGAGCTGCGTTCCAGCTGGACACAGTTTGGATATCAGAAGGTGGAACTCAGCTCCAGTTAAATTTAACTCTGGATTACAAGAGCCACAGTAGATATATTCATGGGAAATACAGCAGGTTAAAACGAACTGGAATTCTTTTTAAAGCCCAACTTATCAGATGCTTTGTGTGTATTTGTGTGCAAAAGTCCTGATGTCATCAACTATGCTCCTCGTTTAATCTTCGGTGTCTGCCAGGTTTCACCAACATCTTGCCCACACTGTTAAAAAGACCTTTTCTGATAAATTCTGTGAGCAAGAGACTGTTCTCACCATGGTGTGCCTGCGGAGGGTGGACTTGTCGGTGAAGGTGCGTTTGCAGAGGCCACACATGTAGGGCTTCTCTCCGGTGTGAATACGCTGATGCCTCTGGAGCGCGTTGAGCTGAGTGAACTGCTTGTCGCAGTCTTTACAGCTGTACGGACGCTCTCCTGACACACAGCATCACAATTAGAAAGTCAAACCAATGCCAGAGTGCAAAAAAGGAAAGGACAGTAAGGAAGACGCCATCAGAAATGAACAAAAACATCCCGACATAAGGATTACCTGTGTGGATTTTTAAATGCTGGTTGAGGGAGTTCCTCTGAGCGAAGCCTCTTCCACACTGATCACACTTGTACGGCTTAGACCCGGTGTGGATGTTCGAGTGGTGTCTCAGGTATTCTTTAGATGCAAAGCTTTTCCCGCAGGCCTCGCACATGAAGGGCTTCTCTCCTAGCGTGAGAACAAAATGCAGCAACAAGAACAATCTTTACAAAACAGAGACAAATCTCCTGTCAAAATGCTCGAATCTAAACAGCTGTTACATTACCTGTGTGTGATCTCTTGTGATAGGCCAACATGTGCTTCTGAGTGAACCGGGCATCGCACTCATCACACGCGAACGGCTTCTCTCCTGTGTGAGTCCTGCACATGTGTGAACACAGATTTAGTCGTCATTCATTCACACACAACATTAAAACCGCTACAGATGAGGAGGCAAGGGCCAAACTGTGATGGCTAGACATGCAGGTCAAAGCAGCCGTTGCTGTTATTATTAAAAACGGTCCACTACTCTGTTATAGAATAGCTCTGCTGAAAAGATATTTAATGTTATACAAGCAAAAAAAAACCCCACGTGTATTTCTAAAATGACAAAAACAAAACAAAAAAATAGTTTAAGTCCACATGGGAGACTCAAATTAACACCTCTTGCTGTCTTCTCTTCTATTTTTAATTGTTAACAGCAGCAGCACTGATCAATAAACTGCTCATGTTCTGTATTATTGACCCGACAGGTATTATTTACGACCTCTTTACATTTTTGCATACAGCTCTCTGTCACAGTCTTGCCTTGTTGTGTACACAACGCCAACACAAACTACAGTTTCAGTTGGACAGCAGTTCCGAGTTCTTTACCTGCGATGCATCTTGAGTGCAGAGTTTTGAGTAAATCTGGCCCCACAGTCGGTGCACTCGAAGGGTTTCGTGCCCGTGTGCGTCCTCTCGTGCAGCAACAGGGCCGTTTTGGAGCTGAGGGCCTTTCCGCACTCAGAACAGACGTGTCGCAGATTTCGCTCGTGTACCTGAGAAGCAGCGAGAGGAAATGATCAAATCAGGAAGAAAAAACAACAGAAATATGCCTGATTATTAGAACATATTTGGGCGTTATACTGCATATATTGTAACGTGGAAACAACCCCCCACATGACTTTTAGAAACAGTGGGAGTGTCATTAATCGTCACCTGTCTCTGGTGGCGGACGACATCCTTCTTCCGTTTAAAGGTCTTTGTGCAGGAGTCGCAGGAAAACAGCCTCTCATTACTGTGGACGTGCTTCTCGTGGATCTTCAGGTTGCTGCGGTTAGCGAAGGTCTGCTGGCAGGTCTCACAGCGGAAGACGACGTCTGCCTTCACGCCATGATACGTGCTGACAGAGAGAGCGAGAGCAGCGATGTCAGAGGACGAATGTTGTGTGGAAGGTAGCTTGATAATCTCACATAACTCCAACTTGTCGAAACAGATTCACTGCAGTTACTAGCTGACCTGCTGCAGATAAGACTGTTGGGTTTCGTAATTATAGTTACAAAACTTGCATCCTTTCCTGTGTGTGGACACGTTTAAGTAATCAATGTTTAGAAACCATTAAACTGTTAAACCCATTTTGAAAACAGTTATGACAAATAAATTAAGTGCCTGGGCGCATTTAAGCTGTCAAGAGTTTTTCCTGCTTAGAGGAACACAAGAATGAAAAGAACTGAGAATAAAAACAGCAACTTATCAGTCAGGTTTGTTAGTTGGGGTTTCATATACTCGTCATTCTTGGTTATCAAACAGTCAAAAATAACAGAAAATGTACAGATTTCTGTCAAATAAGGTACAGGACAGGACTCACTGCCTTTTAAGTACGATAAGTGTTTTATACACAACCGATACTGACTGATTTGTTGAACCAAATTTTTACATTTGCAGTTAAAATAAAAATGTCAAAGCTTAGAACAGGGGTGTCCAATCCTGGTCCTCGAGGGCCACAATCCTGCATGTTTTAGATGTTTCCCTCTTCCAGCACACCTGATTCAAATGATCAGCTCATCATCAAGCTCCTCAAAAGCCTGATAACGATCCTGATCATTTGAATCAGGTGTGTTGGAAGAGGGAAACATCTAAAACATGCAGGACTGTGGCCCTCGAGGACCAGGATCGGACATCCCTGGCTTAGAACAACATAAACTCCATCACAAAACCTGTTGACGTAAGCTTTACATCTATTTAATTAACACAACAATCACAACAGATTGGGCTGAACAACTTAGGGAAAATATATAACTCAATTTTTCTGACAGATATTGTGATTTGTACTGTAAAGTTTTATAAAGTTTCAGTTCAATATTCACTGTGTAATAAATGCATAGCATGTGATGGTGAGACAACATCAAAAGCACAAAGAGATTTGCACAAAAAATGTGTTAAACTACTGACACAGCAGTTAAAACGTTGCGTTAGACACGCTGCATTATAAATATCCTAAATAGCAGCTTTTGCAAATTGCATTACTTCGAATCACAATTTAAAAACCGCTGCCCTACCAACACATGCACAGACACAGCTACAAAGAATTTCCCCTCTCTGGCATCTATTAAAGCCACTAGATGTGTGACTAGAACTCTTGGAGCAACCGGATGACTCACATTTCCCACCAAACTATAATTACTGGTGTCAAGCTGGAACACATCTACATGCAATAAGACCAACAAAGAGAACACGAGGAATGCTGCTCGCCTGCAAACAGTTAGGTGCTGAACTCGAGTACAAAACACAGAACTTTAATGGAACAATGGTGTTAATCAGTAAAAAAAACTGGAGCGTCATTATGTTACCTGATGTGCTTCAAGTAGCTCCTCTCATAGTGGAAAGTCCGTTGGCACTTGTTACACTGGAACTGGGCCTTGGATGTTCTTTTTACCGTATCGCTGGACTGTCCTTCCTCTTCCTCGTCCTCCTCCTCGTCCTCCTCTTCTTCCTCTTCTTCCTCCTCCTCCTCCTCTCCCTCTGGTAGGTGTTCTTCAGCATCCTTCTGCTGCTCATCATCATCACATTCCCAATCATCTGTATCTAAAGCAGGCTTCTCCGCTGAAGACTCTTCCCCTTTGTCTTGCTTATTCTCCGGCTGAGCCTCGGCCTCAGTCTTGTCCTCGTCCTCCTCTGCGTCTTCGTTGGTAACTTCACTGCCGGAAGCCTCTTTTTTCTGATACCAACGCCTCTGAAGCACTTTGTGACCAGCCAGCCTCATTTTCAGCTGTCGCCCGGGTCTTTTTTCCTCCGTCGCCGTGTTCTTTGCCTTTATTCTTTTTGAAGCCACTTCTTTCTCGGAGCTCTGCGGCGAGAGCTGCCGCTTAAGAGGCAAGCTTTTAGGCTGCTTCTTCCCTTTGGTCTTTTTCTCTGTTTTGGCACCATGCAAGTCGTCTGTAGCTACGACTTTTGACACAGATGTTCTCTTTCTAGGCTGCTGCAGAATTCCAGCACTCATGGCCTCCACGCAGACCTCTGACAGATCCTCACAGTCCAGAAACTGCGCCACGGCTTGCACGTCGCCGATCTTGTCTCTGGCCACTTCAACTTTACCCGTGTACACGAATTCCAGAAACTTTGAGAAATCCCTGGAGCGCATGTTGGAGAGTGATAGCTTATCTCGGGCCACATCTTGAGACAGAAGAAGCTTCTTGAAGTAGCCGCTGGACGCAGCGAGCATCACCTGGTGGGCCTGAAACTCCTGCACGTCTCCCTGGTAGTCGACCTGCACTGTGACGTCGCTCAGCTGTCCTTGGAGCCTCAGCTGATGCAGGGAGGCCAGAATGTTTTCATGATGTGAAGCTGAGGTGAGCTGGACCACCTTGACCCCCATAGTTCATCAGTGCTGCAGAAAAACACATGAAGGGGTCACGGTGACTTGTAATGCTTAAACTAGCTGTGAATGTTCATCCTCAAAGAGACGGCAGATTGCAGACAATGACCTTCTCGGCTGAGCGGATGCAGCGTATCATCCGCTCGACCCGAGGAGGTCACTGGCTGCAATCTGCCTTCTCTCCAGGACCTGCACGCCTCCAGGACTCTGAGGCCTGCAGGTAAGATTGTGGTCGACCCCTCCCACCCTCGACACAAGCTCTTTCAAACACTCCCTCTGGCGGGAGGCTTCGATCCATCAGGACCAGAACCTCACGCCACAAGAACAAATTTTTTTCCCCATCTGCCACTGGCCTCATGAACGAGGCACAGGACCCCCACTGACCCCCCCTGCCCCCTCTCTTAAGCATAATGCACTAGCAGCAGCAGCTCTTTCCTATTTCCTCAGTAGAAATGAGGCTGTACATAGGTGACACAGCAGTGAAACCCTCATTAACGATTTACATCCTCTGTGATCTTAATAGCTTTTTTAACTGACGGCTGAACTGTTGCACACAGATCATAAAATCATGGAGGACAAAGCAGTTGTGTTCCAGGATGGATCCAGCATCCAAATCCAGCCAAAATAGTTTTTACTGGTGTAACGAGTGCATTGCTACAGGAAAAGAGTGTTTTCAGTTTTGCTGCTTAGATGCAATAATATTTGCAATAGTGACATAATTGCAAGCATTAACTGATCTCATCACTTAAGTAAGATAATAATAATAGTTTGGCAACAGATGGTCAATCTAATAATGCAAAAACAGTCATGCTTATCCTATAATTCAGAGCAGATATTACAGTAACCCAGTTGAATATTTTATTTCTGGCAGAAATGTCAGTGTTTCATATATTAAAGACAATAGAAATCCAAAAATATTGGTCTGCTACTGTATCCTATTGGAGTATAGGTCTATATAGTTTGCCAAAAATAATCATATTGTGAATATTTTGACAGACATTTCTAGATGACTCATGATTTTAGTGGAAATTGTATTTTTGCATTTCTTTCCCACTGAAAAAAGAAAGTCTGAACATTTTTGCTGCAGTCTGCAATAAATAAGCAAGTTTCCTTGTGTCTGGAAAACATGATTTATCGGCAGGACTATCTCTGTTGCACCACAATGCCTCACTCACAATGGGAGACGTTTCACCTTTATCCAAGAACTGCAGTTCGTGCAATCTGGATATTGCACTTGTCCATAAGATGAATCAAAATTGTAGCTTGACGCAATGCAATCAGCAAATTGCAAAAGCTGCAATTTAGGATATACATTATGCAGCGCGTCTGATCCAGGATTTAAGCTGCTCTGTCAATGGTTTTAGAAATTCATGTGGGACAGTCACACTTTTGATGGCGTCTCATGTGGCACGTTTTAAAAACCATCACACAGGAAATACAGAACTCAGGTTTGACTCCATAAAATTACATAGTAGTTGCAACACCTGCTTTAAAAATCCCAATAATGATCAGGCCTTGTATGCCGTGATATATTTCACCTTTATCCAAAAAATAATAATAAATGCAGCTTCCACTATTGGATATTGCTCATGTGGACATGGCAATTTTGGCAATATTTAAAATAATCATCCCACTTTCTACTAATAGTTTCTATTTCTGCTGTTTACAGTCTGATCTGTGACTCACTGTGCAATGATTTATTATTTTACTAACTTTGCCTGTTAATATTTTTTATTATTATACAAGTTTCTTATCTGTCTGCCTACATCTTTTATTGTCTTACAAAGGTCCACTGAAAATGAGGCCTCCATGCCTCGATGTAGTTTAAATGCAGGCTGAATGAATAAAAAGGATGGATTTAATATTTCAGACATCAGACTCTGAAATTCCAGCAATACCGTGGAGGTGAATTAGTTCTTAGTTTAGCGAAAAGACAATTCAGCTGCAGCATCTCTGTGCAGAAACACAGCTGCACAATCCAGATTCACACCACACAATGTGCACAGTTCAGTTTTCCTGTAATTAGTTTGTACTGGAAGAATAATCTGGATTTCTTCAGTGCACAGTTTGGTCTGTGACCACAAAGCTCAGTCAACAAGATCTCCACCTCCTCATATATCCTAATTTAACCTCTGATTACAGAGAAAGGACGGCTGATGTTTACCTAAAAGCTTGGCGAGTTGGTTAAAATAACTTAAATTAATCTCTCTACAGAAGGTGTGTCTTTAAGAGAACTCACCTGAAGTGTTAACAGAGCCAGGACAAAAAGCTAAACATGATATTTTTGTGGTTTCGTCCTGATATCATTCACTGCTACAGTCACTAAATGCTAACAGTAGCATCACGGTGCTACACAAGCTAGCTTAGCTAAAGTTAACCGGCTAACGCGAAATAACAAGCGGCGGCACAAGTTCAACCTCCGGCTGCTCACACCGACCGAGACGCCGTCTGTCAGGCGGCACAACCGCACGACAACACGGAGCAAGTTTTCTTACCGTAAGCTCGGTAAAATGGCAGCCCCGCACAAATGTTCCGCACGGAGGAAGGTGCGTCCCGCAGCAACGGCTCCACCAGCATCCGGGGCCGAGGTGGCTGATCCGGGATCGGTCCTCCGTTTACCGCCGCGTTTGAAATGTGGACAGCCGACGACAGCAGCTGTTTCTGGGTCATTTTAACTGACTGTTGCCCGAATTGGTGCCTGAAAAACGGTGCTGTTGAAGCGGTGCATGTCGGACTTCTCAGGCAGCCCGAAGCTCACAGCTGAACCCCCGAGGAGGCTTCAGGGAACCTCCAGGTTAGTTCGGTGGAGTTTTACTAGATAGTCAGAGTTTAATGTAAACACAGCCCGGCTCACAGG